CATCTTGCGGTGGCCCGACATAATCCGACCGACGATAGCTGAAGCCCTTTTCTGCGGATTGGACTCCATCTATCATCTCATAACTACCTGATTTTCTAAACTTTGAGATTGTTTTGGAATTATTTTCACGGTTCCAAATTTTCGTGTTGTATCCTATTTACTTGTATCATGTACTTATTTCCATCAAAATTTCTGTATTCAATGCTTCCTGTAACTTGAAAATGAATTTTTAATTATGCACTATGGGATGAATTTCCAAGTAAATAACAAATATTCTCACGAGTCCAAGATCAATTTACTAATTTTCGTGAAACTGTTACTAAATCTCGAGTTCAAATTCGTAATTCAGTTACAATATAAGAATTACGTGCATAAATTTTTTAAACTTGCTGAGAAAGGCTTGTGTACCTTTTATTTCTCCTCATTAGGAAGCAATCAACATTAAGAACTGTCGTAAAATCGGTTGAAAGTTAAAAGATACCCGGCAGTGAATAGTGATCAACTTCTTTGGCAAACTCAATCTTGCTATGCCAAAGTAATTTTGATTGCGCCTGTAGCCGAGTTGGTATAGTTACAGATTAAAATATGAATTAAACTCTCTTACAAGGCAAATATAATGCTGACCTTGGCATGAGCAGGTAGGGGAAGGCCAAGTCGATCACTCGTACTGGGGACGCCCGGAGGAGATGACCATGAGTAGGCCGTCTATGAAGATAGACGTCAACGCTCCAGGTCAGAGGGCAGCCTTCACTAGCTATATTGTCGTCATATGAATAGATGAAATAAAATAATATAATATAGTATAATATAATATAATATAATATAATATAATATAATATAAATGATCTATATAAATGCCAAATAATATATTTTATTTAAAAAATGTTACGTGGATAGTGATCAGTTTTATTCTGAAAATCAATTAAAATCACAAACATAATCCATCAGCCGTCGATTCAGCGTAAACGCCACTTGTCAATAAAACCCGTATAATAATTATCAGAATTACGATTTGTGGGGTTCGATTGTCTCTTAATAACTAAAAAGCTTTCTCGATCACGTTAGGAACTTGTGGTTTTGTTTTGTTTACAAAATATATTATTTCTATTGTAGGCCGGCGACATAATTAAGTGCTGTGGCGAAGCTAGTGGCAGTGAAGGTAGATCTTGTCGTTCTCTTCTCCGTTACTTGTGGGTCGCGTGCCATTTATGCAAAGACATGGAATAAGGAACAACAAGTTGGATAAATTTTTCCATTTCTTGTCTTTCAAAAACAATTTTCTTTATTGACACTTGAAAATTTTAAGTTAACCCAGCAACTGTCATTCTTACGCAAAATTTCTGTCGTGTTTTCTTTCGCAAAAAGTCTGTCCAAACAATCCTTTATAAATTTTCTGACAAAAACTTGACATAGTTATTAAGATCATTTTTTTGCAACGACGTATTTAATGTGTAATGTGCAAAGCCACCCTGCTCATCCTCACGCAGCTTTCAAACGAGTTCCCGAGTATGTTGCAATTATTTCATAGGATAGGAATTAAATTTCTCAACATTAGTTCTTACATGCACGTTGTTGAAAATCATTACTTTTTAAGTTCGGATTGATTCATTATGTTTTATACCGCTGTTAAGGTTGGTACCATTGGAAATCCAGTTATTTTAAGAGTAAATTTTTATTTAAAGGCTTTCTGCAAATGTTTCAAATTTCAATGTCGTCGTTTTCTACAGTTTAGTTCATCATTTAAACTCACACGAATAAAAGGACACGTGAAGTAGGCCAGCAAGTTAAAAATCAGTACAGAAAAAGGCTTCATTTATGGGGTGAAATGAAGTGCTAAATATTTAATGATTATCTATGGAATATTATTCATTGCAGGCCGTTATTGAACAAAATACACTACAAGTTTTGGCTTTAGTTGAAGATATGTAAATAATAGAAAATATGCCATTTGAGCGCGTTAGCGTTCACCAGTTTCAATATCGTCTCAGAGATATCCTTATAATTTCATGTTACCTGCGAAGGAATTTATTTTAAATCACCTTCCACAGGATCAGACTTGGCGGGTGAAACGGCAGCTGCTCTCACGGCGGCATCATTGGTTTTCCAGGTGAGATAACCAGGAAAGTTATACAAATTAGAATTTTTTTAGCACATATAGGGGCAAAGTCTAAAAATTTCAAAAGAATTCACTGGCTTTGGGCCGAAAAGTCAATGACTCGTCCATGAGGCATCAAAGCAGGCTAGACGAAATGAAAATTGTACTAACTTAGAATACTTCAGTACAAAATTAAGCCGACGCAACGATACTTTTTGGCAATTTATGTATGCGAATAAAGTGCAATCGATCTTAAATAAGATAAAAGGATCCATTAATTTCTGTTCTATTGTTTTTCGTCTGAACAGGATGGCGATCCGGCTTACGCTGCCGTTTGCCTGGAAGCTGCCAAGAATTTATTCGATTTTGCTGACCAGTATCGACTGATGTACCACGAGTCCATTACGGATGCGGCAAATTTTTACAAGTAATTGTAAAAAGTCAAATGTGATAATAACTTATAGATTTTTATTTATTTTTAGATTTTTTGTTAGAAAACTCAACAATTACTCAATTCAATTAATTTTTTTTTCCGCACCTATATACTAATCATTGGACAATTTTCTTTTGATCCCACATAAAGGAATAGAACTGAGGTTCCTTCCTCTTGTATTGGGCAGGTCGTTCAACGGTTACGGGGACGAATTAGCTTGGAGTTCCATGTGGCTTTATAAAGCCACTGGCGATGAAATCTACGCCACCAAAGCGAAGGAATATTGGGTTGAATTTGATGTCCATTACAACGGTTATGGCTTCAGCTGGGACAACAAATTTGCCGGGGCACAGGTTCGAAGCTCAAAATGTATTTACGAATGATCTCAAAATATCTGATATTCTTCCTGCAAATGTTTCACTTAAATATGAATAAAGTTTATGATCTTTATAAATTGTTTAGCTTCTTTGATTCTATTGGATGCGATTGCCTATAAATAGGGACATGTTAGGTTCTTCAAACCTGGGCCTATACTTTAAAATAAGTTAAGAGATCGTAAGTTCATCAGCTAATCATTGACGACCTTTCAAACAAAATCCACCAATCATAGACAAGAAAATAGAGCGTAAGCACTTACATTCACTTAGCGAATTTTGAGACTATGGCCCCTGTACTGAGTTTGATCATAGGTACTCGATAAGCTGAACTATTCAGATCTTGTACGCGGAGGAGTTCAGCGACCCTGAGTACAGTGAGGCCGTGCGCTACTTCCTCGAGAGCATGAGGAGTCGAGAGCACACACCGGGAGGTCTCTTCTTCCTTGATCCCTGGGGGTCGCTCAGACACGCTGTCAATGTCGCTTTCATTGCCTTCAAGGTAACGACGTAACTATACTTCTATATGTTTGCATTGAAGATATGTAATTGCATAATTTCTCAAGTTATTCAAAAAGCGTTGGAGAAGGAATTAGTGTATGTACAAAACTACCTATCCAGAGACGGTGTTGCATCTTACAAAGTGTGATCAGTTTTTAACTAATGCTTGTGAGGATTTGAAAAAGAATTTTGAACCAAATTCTTTAGGCCGCTGATCTCGGCATAGACACGGAAGTGAACAGAGCCTGGGCAGAGCAGCAACTGAACTACGCGCTCGGATCCTACGGACATTCCTACATTGTTGGCTTTGGCGTGAACCCACCCGAGAGACCGCATCACCGAGCCAGGTGTCGTTAACCTGACATAACCTTTTGGTTTGTTCAATTAATCTAAGGGGCACTTGCACTATTTGCATGGACTCGGCTGCAGCTCTTACAATGCCTGCATTTTTCCCTCAGGTCTTGAGACATCCCTTTTAATTTGCACTGACATTGGCAATGACTCCAATAATGCCAAAATCAATAACAACTAAATTGGCATAATTTTGTTCACCATGTACTTTACTAATTTCTGTCTTTATCTACCATTAATTCAATTGAAGGCGTTATTTATTACAAGAGTCCACACAGTAGACAAAATATTAATCAAAATATTTTTCAAATCCAAATGCTAATGCTTGTATTTGTAGCTCGTGCCCCGACATGCCGGAAGCCTGTGTAAGTGACTGGGCGCAGAACCAGCCCGGGCCTAACCCTCAGGTACTCTACGGAGCCATGGTCGGAGGTCCAGACCAGGTGAATTCATTAAAGTTGCTGTGATCGCATTTACCTGACTCATACGTTGATCATTAATACCTACTAATAATGAAAACCTATATTTTTTGATTGGTTGTTGTAACTTTTTAAGTAATTATTTTTCATTGTTTCATTTGGAGTCTGACTATTGAGTATTGACCAGCGGTTTTAACTTTTATTGATTCTCCAACCAGATATGGGAATTCACCTACATGAATAAGAATTTAGTAAAATCTCTTTTCAACTTCATATATACAAGGAAGCTTGAGGAGTATGTAAAAGAGAATTTTAAGTTTTAGCTATAAATTACCAGTGCACATTGTTTCTTCGTGATCTGATTTGTTGAAAGTAAATAAATCGAAGTGCGAAAGAGTATTTATCCAATATTAAGTGAAAGCTTGCAGCACGCAAAGAGTTGCTACAATTTATAAGTAGAAATTTGACTCGAAAAGATACCGAGACATATTTACAGGTAAACAAATTTTACAGAAATATACGACAAACTAATTGCATTTTAGTTTTGGATATTGAATCACGTCCTAGCAATCTTGCACTCTTTTTCAATTCCTTGAAATTATTCCGCATTCCTAAAATTTATTTGCAGTTCTAGCGCAAAAGTTGTTAACTTACTGTGCGATTACCTAAGTAGAAGTTAGGGAAAATAATAGCATCTGAGCGCTGTCTGATAAAAGAATAACCAAACTAAGAACTTGTGTACCTCGCAGACGGACGGCTACTCAGACGAGCGCATGGACTACATGCACAACGAGGTTGCCTGCGACTACAACGCTGCCCTCACCGGTGCCCTCGCTCAGCTCGTCATTCTTTATCAATAAAATGTACAGCTTTCGCTTGATTATTATAAAATATTCAGAAACAATTGGTTAATTAAAAGACTTTTCACTTTCGTCTCTAGAACATTTTTATTGCAGCGTTCCACATACCATAATTGAAAAATAAATATGTATTGTCTGAGACTATCATCTTGGTCAAATTTTTAGTTGCGCCAGCGCATTTTTTTACGCTAACTTTCACTGTATCAAATTTCGTCCCATTCTTCAATTCACATTTTTGTTGCGTAAATTTGTATTATGTTTTGTGATAATTGTAAGATCATTATCGCATTATTTTATAAATTGAGAAGGAATAGGATAAATTGATTACATGAGCTGTCACTGGTACTCGATTAAATAAATGTTGGCATGACATTTGATGCATTATTCATCTATATACACACCAATAGGAAACTTCCCAGGACATTGGAAAGTTACGCAGGAATGGAAACTTTATGATGACATTGGTTCATTCGTCTTTAAACAAGCAATAAAAGGGTGGTAAGGTAACCAAGCAATTATTTATTGGTAAGGTATAATCAAGTAAATATTTTTTAAAGGTTTAGATTTTAATGTCTTGTTTCAGTTCTTTTGTGAAGAAAATTTGAAGCACTGATCAAATAAATTAAATTTGCTGATTTCGCGACTTAATTCGGTGTTCAGAGGGTGAATAGAGATAGCAAGTTAGTTGATTTGCAGTGATGGAAAAGTTTTTACTGAGATGAAACTACTTTAACTCTGCATCGAACTATGCTTAACCCAATAACTTTTAGACCGTAAGTTTATTCACTGAGACTCCTCTTCAAACTAAATAAACAATAACTCTAAAGTAAATGCGGAAAAACAAACGTGTGAAACATATCAGACTTACACACTGTGACTATATGGATCGCTCTCTGAGCTCCAACAGGCAGTGTATTCAACTCGTATTAATGATGGTATAAGGGATAGTGTATTATTGGAATATTGCGTAGCTTAAATCTTTCAAACCGCAATGGTAAGAAATATAGAGTAATCCCCATAAAGTAATTCGATTTCTCAAGCTTACTTCCAACATTCTTTGTTCCATTCGGTGAGCGTTAAGTTCGTAAATGGTTTGAATCGCAATTTAAATAGATTGTTCAGCGCTAACAGTGTGCAATGGCTTTACTCTCTACCTTTGTGTGAGTTGAGAGCCTGTTTGAAAACCTACTATCTAATTAAAGAGAATTCTAATATCAAGCGCAAACTGCAATTAACTGGAATTTTCATAAAACAGCTTTGAAATGATATGCATAGAACTTTCTTGTTAATAGGATCAAATTGTAATTATTGCGGTTATGGATTGTAGCATCACTTCTCCTCATATGTTATAGATCTTTAGTTTTTGTTCAAATATCTTATTTAGCTAAAATAAATCACGAAAAGCTTCAGATCCTTTTCATCAGTTCGGGAATAAATCCGATGGTTTAGATTAGCCTGCTAGACCATTATTAATATGTGGAAAATCCCTGATTCCTGTTAGCCATTGTTAACTTCCATTGGGACGATGATGAGACAAGAACCAGTACTATACATATGAGCTACTAGATCAAGTTTGTGAAACGATTGATGATTTTTTTTTTAACTGGAAGTGAGGTATTACTTCAGGTCTATTCTGCCGATAATCAGTTAAATTTTTCTCAGATTTCTAGATAGATTCTGATTCTTCTAGAAGAACATCCACGTCCGTACCACGATCCACAGCTCGCCGCGAAAAATATTCATTATGCCTCGTCATCATCAAATGGACTGTAGAGTCTACCGCTCATACCATGAAACTCTTCTGCCACATTTAAATAGTTCGAGTATGTTCCTAATTTTACCCTTACATGAATTTATACGTCATTACATTTCTTCTACAATGACAAAGCTTTAAAATGAGCTTGGCATGTCTGAGCTATGATCTATTTGTAAGCGTGCCTTCATATTAACATAATTGATTGCTCATACTTTAATGCCATTGCATCCTGCGAGTGATCGGAATGCAATTGCGACGATTAATTGTTGATTCAATGCAGAATGGCTCCCGGGGGTGCAAACTAGAGTTTTTCTTTCGTACGGAAATAATTAAGTACCGGCGGATTCTCTTATATCATCTCTCTAAGATAAAATGTTATTTCGTAAATCAAATTTGTCCTTATATAGTGAAGATTTCATACAGACATACAGGCATGGTATATCTTTGTTGATGATATTATCTAGTTTCTATATATGGTAGAAATAAATCCATTAAAAAAGGAAACAAATTCAGGAATGAAATGACAATAAGATAAAGCAGATGAATCATTATAATTTAGAACTCAAAATCACTAGTAAGATGCATGGACTAATTGTCCCTAATACGGAACTGCATTATTCAGACTCGGCAATCGTTGGGGCAAACGTCGCCGCCAAACGCGCACACGGCGAAGCGGCGGTCGCACACGAGCGACTTGGGGTTGAAGAGCGTGTCTTCTGGGCAGTAGCCAATCTCCTCCGTGTACACGCCTCCCTCCTGCTCACAATCCAAACGAGACAATAATGATAAAATTCACTGATTTGAAATGTAGGCACTAAGCATGCTAATTAATATTGAATTGATTTCCTGATAAATAAATGTTAATAAATTATGCACTCTATCAATCGTTAATTAAAATGCAAGTTATTATTTGATTGTCTTATCTCTCACCCATCGCTGGAGCAATAGTTTCTACTTAATAAAGCTATTGAACTTCCTTTCACAGCAGGTGCATTGGATGTTCCTTTGCATTGGATGTGTTCACTTACCAAATCACACTTGTAATAAATTGTGCAGTCAGTAGGTTCAGGGTTGTTGCCGGGTTGTTGACAGTGGTCAGTGGCAGACGATTTGGGGGCGACGAAACGAGGCAGCTGAAAGGAAAGGAAACACTGACTTTTTTCATGCACACTTTCAAATTGCATTTTCAATATGAAATAAAGTTTTTCAAAGTAAAGATCAGAACAGCAAGAATAGCAGTATAAGTTTCAAAATTTACTGTATATGCTGCTGTATTCATTTCGTTTAGTGGATTAACGAAAGTGCTATAATTACATAATTTCAATTAGTGAGGTAACGAAGGTACTATAATTATATAATTTCAATTAGTGAGTTAACGAAGGTACTATAATTACATAATTTCAATTAGTGAGTTAGCGAAGGTGCTGTAATTATACAATTTCAATTAGTGAGTTAGCGAAGGTGCTATAATTATATAATTTCAATTAGTGGATTAACGAAAGTGCTATAATTACATAATTTCAATTAGTGAGTTAGCGAAGGTGCTATAATTATTCCGAAAGTATCAGACTTACGCGGGGTTTAGCGAGACGTTTGTGCTGGGGGCTCTTCATGCCAGTAAAGGTGTTCTTGATGGTCTGGATGAGAGGGAAAGGCCCCGAGCCACAAGCTCCAGAGAAGTCGTCCGTGTCTATACTCCAGGCCGCCACGCCTGCCAAGTTCTTGGCAAGGGCGTACGACGCCTGCAAAGTAATTGTGTTCTCAAGATTTTACTTACGTTCATTGATGTAACAAATATTGTCATCTAAGGTATCCATACCTTATACGTAACTACATGAAAGACTGAGGATCACAAATCTTTGATTAAAGAAAGGAGATGCTTAGAAACTACAGACAATCAGATCGATTCGACTAAACTGGAGTACATAATGCGCCACCGATTACCATAGTGCTTTAATTCTTTAGATTACGTTGGTAGATCAAAAGGCAGATTTAACAAATAATAATAATATATTAACGCCGTTTCGAATGTAGCAACATTCATTTTCAAGTTAATAGTTGCATTTAATTGTGAAATTTTGTTGGACATATATATAAGTACATAATACACGTAGAAAGGATACAACAAAAGAATTTCGAGCCAGAAAGTCCCTCCGCAAACAATCTCAAATTTTAGACTCATCCGGTAATTGTTCGCATAGATACGGATTTTGTATATATTTTCATATAGAATTAAATATTATGTCAAAGCTACAGATTAATGACGAAGTTAAACCGTCTTTATGTCGCAAACAATCCCAAGTAAGCTACCTCTGACCGTGACTCAGGGTATATATTGTTACCTTGTTCACCAATGATGCAGAATCATCGAAGCTGGCCCAGATGTTATCAAGGCTGAGATCGTAAGCGTACGGTTCATTCATGTCCGGCTCGTTGACGACCACCCATGGGCTGTTCAGGTTCCTTTCACACAGCTGTGAATATTCAGTATTTTAAGATTTTTTACTTTTATTGTTCCAATAGATTTTAATAAATTGGTATCAAAAGTTTCAAACGTCAGTTAACAGCGAACTATAGATCACTGGAAATGCAAATGCGATCTGTAGTTTCATAACAAATATATTTACAATGTTGAAAAAATATTCAAAGCAAACGGAAGAAAATGAGGTAAGCAAGCCTTTGAACAGAATAAATAATTCATGCACCCACAATTTCGAATGAATTTATGTACGAATGCCTCTTTTCCAACACTTTTCGTGTCTTTTCAAAAAATTGCTGACCAGTTGCATCTAAGGCTGAAATTTACAAAGAATCGTCAACTGGATCTCCTAAAACTCTTCAAAACTTTCCTTGAGACAAAACCGAAGGGAACCAACCTCATTGTAGCCCAGACTTCCAGGAGACTGGGTGTAGGGGCCGGCAATGCCGGGCTGTGAGGCGGGGGCTCTCATGCCGGTGTTGGAGGAAGAGTCCAGCGTCCAGGTGCGACCAAAGGTTGCGGTGCCCATCACGAGCTTAGAAGGAGCTGCTCCTTGATCCAGCCAGTAGTTGATGGCGAAGTCGACGTTGAGATACGCGTTGTTATCTACGTCCTTAGGTTACAAACGAGCAATAACGTACTTTAAGAAAATAAGTGCAAAGAGACGTTGATGTTACAGCATGTATCTATGCGACAATACTGGGGTTGATGGATGAGAGACAGTATATTAGATAGCAGTCATAAGTCGAAGTATATTAAAGCGCAACTATTTCATCTTATTATGGCTTATATTTTGAAATTCAAAAAACTTGATCGGTGAATGAAGTAAGCAAATGGCCAAATTTGCTCGATTCACTAATTGTATACCTAAGGTTAATTCTTTTGAAATAACGCACCCCGGGATAAGGATAGAGGATAGTGTGGTGGTGAGTAGCGTTATCCCAGGGCCCGTGGAAGTCGAAACTCATGACATGGATGGCATCAACAGCTGCAGAGACCCTCGGTACATTGTATGCAGCGTCTATGACTTCTTTGTTTGAGGACACGGTGGCTGTGAGAAGGTATCCTGCTGAGCCTAGGGCTGCTGCGAGCTCCTCCAATAGGATGGCATAGTTTTCCTGTTATAGACAAGTCATACTGCACTTAAACTTGTAATTGAGGGGTTGCAATAAGAACAATATTCACGACGAAGGATTTCCCAATGGAATTTATAATCAGTATAGAAGAAGTAAAAGAATAAGGAAATCGAACAGCTAGAGACAAAATATTAAAAAGTTCATTATATAGGGTTTTCAGGCGTTCCCAATCAAAGTTACTGGTGCTTCTAACTATGAAAGAGACAAATTTAGTCATTAATTACTTAAAGGAGATGATTCTAAAACACAGACATGTATATATTACGTTTAGATGACATCGATGATAGTTCTTGGATCATCTCCTACAAATTTACTGCATCAAATTATACCATTTGACCTTTTAATATGCATTTTTGTACATACATCGTCTCCAAAGGAAAGTTGGAATAATTGCAACCAGTTTTGGGATTTACAAAATACCACTAATGGCTAATGGCTACAGTGGAAATTGAATTTTGTTATAGCTCACCTTGTCCTCGGGAACTCCTCCTCGGAGGGTTGGATACTCCCAGTCCATGTCTAGGCCGTCGAAGTTGTGAGTTTCCAAGAAGTTCACGACGCTGTTGACAAATATGCTTCGTGAAAGAGCAGAACCTGCCATCTGGAATGGAAAAGGGAATTCAGTCAGCAACTCGAAAAATCGGTTACAAACACAAGAACGATGTTTGCGAAACACGAAAATTTTGAATTTTTGAATTCTGAAGTGAAAAATTCATGGCTTCATTCGAGTAATACATATTTTTTTATGGATTTATCTATTAGGAAGTAAATGTTCGAATTCCGCAGTACACTTCTTTACTCTAAGAAGATGTCTTATTCAGTAAATGTATGAAGCATGTCTTTAGAACAACGTGCAATTTTATTCAATGTCATAAAGTGTATACTATTCTGTTGTCTGTTTATGCATTGGCTTTATTCGCATCGATTATAGTCCGTAGCTATCCTTAAAAGATATCCAATTTGATAACTGTTTTCCGACAGCGTTAATATTAATTAATAACTTGTCATATAATGCATTTAGCCCAATTTATCACCAATCAACATTCCTTACAATTCACCAAATCAAGTAAATGAAGCTCTGACTCACATTAGAAAATTTGATTGATCCGTCATTCCAGCCACCAATCGAGATGAGTGTCTTGAGGTTTGGGTTGAGACTTTTGAGCGCCGTGAAGCGTTGGTATCCGCAGTTACGAGTTTCCCCGCACAAGTCGTTATAACGGTCGGCCCATGTAATTCTATTCAAGTCTCCAAGAGTAGCAAAGGCATAGACTGCGTGCGTGCATAGAAATGGATCGATGTCTTCAATTTCGAATTTTCCATTACCTTCTCGGTAAGTGGACCATGAGCTGTAGTAGCACACCACGGCTCCCTCTGCACATTATCACGAGTTGAAGTTGAGAAAATTCAGAACTAGAAAAATGTTTATCGAAAAAATTGTTTAGCAACAAAGTATAAAGATAAACTTGAATACCTAAGGGAAATATCGTTTTTCAGTGTTACATTTGATGTGAAGATTATTCGGAGTCATATCTTGGATACCTGATGTCTTACTTAGTTGTATGTTCGCAAACTGAGAAGTTGACATTTTAGGCTGATTGAAAATACATCATGACACTTGTGATAGAACAATTTAAATAATGGTTTGGGAAACATAATGGCTAATGATCAAAAACAGGTAAAAAATCGGGACCATTTATTATTTTCGAGGAAATCCTGGACTACACAAAATATCGACACTAATTAATGAGAGAAATTTTTCCGAACAGACTCATAAATCGGGACAATAATTTTGTAGGGTAATTAAAAAAAATTACGAGACACGGAGGAGGTTTCACTAAATATTACAACACATTCGAAAAACTGTCAGGAAATGTTCAGTAACACGACCAATTTACATATACAGTAGGGGGAAATAAATATTCGTACACTTGAAAAATCGTATTTTAATGTATGTAAGTACACAAACTTAACAGGAAAAGTGATTTAAATTATGTATAGAGACGCATAGTATTCAAAAATACTATCAAAAGAAATTAAATCTCAATGCAACAAAAAACAATGCAACATGTTCACTTTTCAAGTTTGTGTACTTACATACATTAAAATACGATTTTTCAAGTGTACGAATATTTATTTCCCCCCACTGTATTTGTAAGCAGTCAATTTATAATTGGACTAAACTATGAACAAAAAAATGCTCACCAGTGAGCGTGGCAGTGAGAACGAGGAGAGCTGCTAAGGCTGCGTACTTCATCGTGTCAGCGACGACGCGTTCATGAAATTGTGCCGTCCCATCTTTCCTTAAATGCACCCCGGCTTATCGCTGCAAAGCTTCTCATCATCGTTGGCATTGAAACATATTATCACAAGGCAATAGGCAAAGAAAATAGTTTTTCGTATTTCTTGGAATTAAGATATGGAATATAGGTCGCATCGGTCCCACGGGAATGAAAATCTGTCCATTCACCATGACGCAAGAAATGATTTTCTGGAGCTTTCTTTCAGATGGAGCATTTTTCCGACATTTTTTTAACGTTTTTTTTTCACCAGAAAATTTGTACACTAGTTTATATTAAATTTTTGTCATTCTGTTTCGAAGAAAGAAGACGTATTTTAGCTTAAATTCAATGATGATTTGATTGAGAGATAGCGGATGAAAATTAAGGAATACAAATGTTCCGAGGGAGACGCAAAAATTTGCCTTTATATTAAGTAGTTTAGAGATAAACTACGACAAAGACCAAACAGAATAATTCGAGACAGCTCTGTGGGCGGACTAGTGTTCATCCTAACTAATTAATATCCTTAAAACCACTTTAAGATTCACCTTGTAACCTGTTGTTCGCTTATAATGGCACTAGCTCAAGGTCATGCTGAAAGCACCACCACTTGTCAGCTACCAAGCGCTGACTACCAGCAACTCTGTGACATGAACTGATCTTCACAAGTCTTGAAGCCACGGTTAAATCCTCTCATCTCAGTGCCGCTACCACTGCGTTATTTAGTGGTGCGCACTTCCTTCATTCGAATAAGGCGCGTAACTCTAATTATTAAATTACGGAGAATATCCACAACCAATCTCCGTTTGGCCGCAAATTGATTGTGTGCCAATCGTGTTTTCAGAATGAATCATGATTTCTTATTGAAAAAAAAAATAAATAAAATATTAGGCTGAATGGTACATTTGCGCTAGAAAGAGCTTGACCTATCAAATTATCTGATTAGTTACTCGAGACTGAGACTCCCAATTTAATTACAATCTAAATCGCTTGCTGGCATAGTTTCCGCAATATACCTTTGTATTTAGTTTGATATGTGTTGATGAACAGGTATTGAATATGGTAAGTTACAAATAAATGCCAACTCATCAACCCTTGATAAGTCTTTTCGTGGAATGCTGAAATTCTCATAAAAATAAATGTACCGTAAAGACAAATAATTGCATATGGTATATTAGTCATATCTATGTTAGTCCTCTTTATGTTAGTTATCCAAAAATGACAAAGCATAGACGTTATCTTGAAGTTTTCCACGAACCACTCGATAACGTGAGAAATGAAATCTGTCCGCAAATCTTCGCAAAACTATCTTGTAATGACCACAAGATGGTGATAAAATCATATTGAGTCCGAGAGATTCAAATATTGTTCATAAATATAAGTATCTTTCGAGTTCTGGTTTAAGATTCGTTTGAATAATTGTTAAGTAAGTGCAAGAATATTTTCAAAATTAATATAATCATTTTGTAAATAAAAGATTACCCTGCAAATTTACGCTATACAATTTACTTTCACAATTGTAGCGTCTGTGTAGAAAATAAGTTCGACCAATGAGATGAAGATATAGGCGAATTTTTACTCCATAATTACATGTGAAAAATGGTGAAAATTTGATTGCGACCATTTTTCCAATAAAGCCTGCCTAGGGTGACTCGTCAATACTCAATGAAACCTGCAAAGTACCTTAATTCTGAAGTTAATTCAACATTTCTTATCTCACAGCATGATAATATTACTCGCTTATTTATGTCAGAAATGTTCGTATTTATGTAGAATAGGATAATTCATTCCAGTGATTATTTTTTTTTTGCAAAATGCAACATCTGGGCAGGGTGGCCCAGTGGTTACAGTTCAGAGTACCAAGATTGGAGCAGATATCGAGAGTTGCGGGTTTGATCCCAGCTCAGTGCGCCAGTTTATGGTCAGAATCGGCTAGGAGGCCGGGCGGCTAAGCAAAGAAAATTTGAAGCAGTGAGTTGCGAGTTCAAGCCCGCAACAAGCGAACGACAGGCCTCCGTTAAGAATCGGCGACAGGCCTCCAGCCTAATAAACGCTGAAACCGCTATATTATATTATTATATTATGTAATCCAAACAGTAGAACTACTTTTAATTGACCGCCTAAAAGATGTTTTCTTCAGTTTTCTATTGAACATGATTTATGTTTTTCACGGTACAGCCCCTTAACTTAGAGATAACAATCAGGAATATTTTTGAGCATATAATTTTACGTCAAAATTTTGTTCGGAAAATTCATCAAATGATGATGCATTTTGCGATGATGGTGAATTTTTCCAACCATTCGCGTTTTGAGGTCAAGAATAAATTTACTCTGTAAATTCATTTCATGAATTTACAGAACGATATTATATTAGTCGTTCATTAAATGAATTTATAGAGCGAACGATTTTTTTGTTATGTTCATGTTTTCTGGAAATAGAACAGAGGTCATCAAAGATTGAGATATTCAAATAATTATTCGTTTTAAGATCAGTTCTGTAGTACTGAACAACACCGTTGTTATATTTGCTTCTGTAACCTTCCCTCAAAAATAAAAGTAAAAAAATGTTACTGAAAAAAGGCACAAGAATTTTTGTGTGCGCCGGCTTGGTTGCTGATTATTCTGTGGTAGATAAGCAGTCCTGTTATTTTATATCGCCATTGATATCTGCAACGATGATGAGACACGTGACTGTCGTTGTGCTGCTCACGTGTGCAGGTAAAAGAGACAAGATAATACATCAAACTAGGCTTTGAGTGAAACTGGCGAAACTTCTGCAGTTTTTGCAAACGATTTCTTGTTTTAGAAAAAAATTGGATAGTTTTGAGAAAAACGTGAAATGAATAGAAATGTAAACGTTTTTAGGCAACAAAAGTTACGATCGAGTTCGGTTGAATAATTTGAGTAGTATGTGAATTATTGCGCAAACTGTTATTCCTCAATAGAATTTAGAATTGATAAGCTCAAAAAATTGCCGAAGAATCCTTGTACCTTAGATTAATGATAATGAACAGTTTGACAAATATTTTTGAGCTCGGAAAATTTTTCATGTGCAGTACTATTTTGTGTGTTCGAAAAATTATCCAGTGGGATTAAAATTACAAACGTCTCCTAGGTGTTCGTGTGTCATTATTCGATATTTTCTAATTTATTCTGAATAAATTCAATTGTGTCACTCACGTATGTACATACCCTCAGGAGCAGGCGTGGTGGTGGAGGCCGCTGGTCCAGGCTGTCCTCCATCAGCGGACGGCGGACGCTACGACTACAAGGAGGTCAATAAATATTAGAAAATACATAACCTACCTGAATTAATTTAGTCTTAGTATTTGGGATGAAATGATGGAAATTGGAAATTCATTAAGCACAGCTAGAAATTCCCCTCCAATACGATTATATCGTAAAATTAGTTCGAAATAGTTCAATGATTGCAATTTAACTTCAATAGGTTGGTTATTCTCAGATGATATCAACACAGATTTATTGAGGCTCAAATCACTCGTAAGATACATTGACAGATGTACATCAAATTTAAGATACAGAATCTCAATAGATTTTTTTACCTAAAAAGTATTGACTCAGACAGGATTTCATATTTTTTATTTTCGATCTGCTTTACAAGTTTGGAATATTGCATAAATGCCTGCACTCAAATATATAATGAAATTCAACATGCCTGTAAACAAATTGGATTTATGGATTAATTTATAAAGGAATTATTGATGAAATCTTGACGACAGGCGCTGTGCATGAGCTTCTTGTTCTACGAAGCGCAGCGGTCAGGCGCCCTGCCGCCAGACCAACGCGTCACGTGGCGCCATGACTCAGCACTTTCTGACGGCCTGGACAACGGCATAGACCTCACAGGAGGATATTATGATGGTCAGTAACTGTTATAGATTATGATGTTATGATGGTCAGTAACTTATATATTACGTTATGATATTATGATGGTCAGTAACTATTGTATATTATGATAGTATGATGGTCAGTAACTATTGTACATTATGATAGTATGATGGTCGGTAACTATTGTATTTTATGATAGAATGATGGTCAGTAACTATTGTATATTAGGATGTTATGATGGTCGGTAACTATTATGATGGTCAGTAACTTATATATTACGTTATGATATTATGATGGTCAGTAACTATTATATATTACGTTATGATATTATGATGGTCAGTAACTATTGTATATTATAATATTATTATGGTCAGTAACTATTGTATATTATGATGGTCAGTAACTATTATATATTATGATATTATGATGGTCTGTAACTATTATATATTATGATGGTCAGTAACTATTATATATTATGATATTATGATGTCAGTAACTATTGTATATTAGGGTGTTATGACGGTGATTTAGATATTTTATACAATGATTTTATGCTGATGAGTAAAATATTATCCGTATTACGATATTATGATGGTCCGTAACTTGAAAAATACGCGTTCTTCTGTACTCGTGAGCTCAAGACTACATAAATACGATTCAAGTTAGGACAGTGGATGTTACGCGTGTCATATTCTGACTGTATTCTGGCGCTATTGCAATTATTCCACAATTATAATTGGGTTTTGATCATGCTAATATTATTAATCGCGTTGTAACATTCCAATCATATTCCAGTAAATTCATTTCATTTAATATATATAGAGTAATCGAGACCGAAGTACAGGGTGCGGCGTGGGAACTTACTCTTTTAAAAACGCGCGCTCCTCTCTCGACCACTGCATGGTCGCAACTGAACTGAGTGGACGAAAAACTTCATAGCCCGCGCACCATATTGCGCATGGCGCCACCTTCCTAGGACTAATGGCCGCCACGTGGCGCGCAATTCAAATAAGTAAGTTCCCGCGCCGCACCCTGTATATAGAGCTACAGGAATGAATGACATTAGAAAAAGTTGAGTAGCTAGTGTATCTCGCACAGCGCTGGATCAGAACATATTACGAAATTGCTTCTTCTGTTATATAGTTATGTTCTGCTGTACATTTGCAAACCTTAAACTATAGATACTTCATGCAGCTTAAGTATTTATCAAGAATTATTTGCATAAATAGGTAGTATAAATAGCTGAATTATCTCTGAGATTAGCCGGAGCTCAACCGCCTATTGAGCTAATAATGAAACATCAGTTATAATAATATTAGTATAACTGTGAGATACTATAGTCTTACCTAATGCATTGTCTGACCACAGCGGGCGACCACGTCAAGTTCAACTTCCCGATGGCGTTCGTGATGACCGCCTTGTCGTGGGGGCTTCTGTCCTACAGGGAGGGCTACGAGGCTGCCGGTGATTAAAAAACTTTCAAAACAACATATCCTGCTGAAGTAGAAAAATCCAATTCGTTCGAAATGAATGAGAAAATGGGGTCTGTGTCGAACTATTTCACACAGGTCGTTGACAGAGGGTATCTTTACGGAGAATTATGAAATATGTCTTCATTATTTACTTCCTGTTTTGTATTTCGCGCCAAGTAGCCAGATGTTGTAGAAAAAGATTTGAGAGTATTTCATATGAAAGGTAAGCTCATGAAGTTTTGTGTCCCGCCTAGTCAGCTGCTACTATGCAGTGGACAAGTGAGCAGCATGCGTTTGCTGTGGAGGCGTACTTTTCTAATGGCCGTTCCATTATCGCTTCACAACGAGCATTCCGTATTCGGTCCCGTATTCATTCATCAGGTCGGGTTCCTGATCGGAAGTCGATTGTTACATCGGTGAACACATTTAGGGTGAGTGGGAGTATATATGCAAGAGGGTCTTGAGGTCAGCAGACTGCCACAACACCCGAAAACGCGGAGAGAGTTAGGAAAACGTTTCTGCGTTCTCCACACGGACCACACCGTTCAGCACGTAAAAACGCTGCTATTCTGAGGAATTCGAATAGCAGTGTGGTACGAATACTTCACAAACAACAGCAATTTTATTCGCACAAATTGTCTGTGGCACAAGAACTTAGCGAAAACGATTTTATTGCTTGCCGAAATGCATGTGAAGCGTTTCTTGAGAACTTGTGAGACAACATTTTGCAGAGTGCCTTATCTCCTTCAGAGGTAATCTTCTTTGGCCGGCCTGATCCCTCGATTTGGCTCCGTGTGATTTTTCATGTGGTTATCTTAAATCAGTTATTTACAAAATGACTACCTCATTTGATGAACAACATACGCCAAGCCATCGCCAACATACCCATCAATATGCTTCAGCGAATTGAACAGAATTTCAAAAAAGATATAAGAATGCATTGACAATAGGGCTGTCATTTGTCCGATGTCATCTTTGAAAATAAGTGATAGAAAAATTCAAGTGTATTTTTCAATAAACTTAACATCATAATGATATCTTTACTAGTAATTTTTTATTGAGCTTTCAAATCGGGAAGTTTCCATGAATCACCATGTATTGTGCACGCTTGAGTTCACCGGTCGATGAGCGACGTGACTGGTATGATGGTCGATAAAATTGAATCCATTTAATGAAAATAAAACTTGCATAATCGGCGCTCATTAGCTACAGGCCAGCCCTTCTTCACTCATAAATGTTTTCCATCGTAAATGTTTTCATCAAATCCAACTTCGATTGATTCGAATTTGTGCAATATCCACTACAGGACAGGTGGCGCACGCAGAGGCTGCAATCAAATGGACAGTTGACTACTTCTTGAAATGTCACAGCGAAAGCAATACTTTGTGGGGCCAAGTAAGTTGTATGGCACTTCATATTCATGAAAATATTTTCAAACGCATTGGCAAAACGAATAGACAATAAATAAATATAGTCGAGCATCTTCACGCGGCATCAGTTGACTATTCAGTTATTATCCTTCGTGTAATTGGTGAGGGACGCAGTATAGCTTGTTTATGAGCTAAATTTGTGGTGTAGGGCTGCGCTCCCATTGGTGTTACTCCGATATTCCTCTTAGCCTTTATTGACCTTAGCACCAGCTGGACTAATTTGCCTTGAGAAGCTCGAGTAACAAACATGAACTGTCATTACCATTTTCAATCCCATAACTGCATGAGAGTTGGTTTGACAGAAAAACTAAAAAGTTTTCAATATTATTTGGACTCATTGGGTAAGGTATAGCGACCTCATCAAAATAAGGATTAGCGACCTCGTCAAAAGAGGCTATATTGTGCTTTTGCGATAGAATTTAATCATTGTGAAATGATTGGCAGGTTGGAGATGGTTATCTGGACCACGCGTGGTGGGGCAGACCAGAGGAAATGCCCATGGAGCGACCGTCGTGGAAAATTGACACAACTGCTCCAGGTACGTGAAAAATGTTCAAGTTCATGCAAAGACTCAGGTGAAAAGCAAGGCATAAGTTAAACCAAATATAGTTCATCCCCAATCATATTTAACTAATTTGAATTGAATTTGAAATGGAGCATGGAGGATACTTTTCGGACAAATTATACTTTACATATTATTAATGAAAAAATTCGTGTAAAAGTGTGATGTTCAGAGAATTTTTTGCTCGGAATTCATCACTGGGCTATGAACAATTACGATGTTTAATGTTGGAATAAGACATTTCTATACTCACCTCTGTCCCATCGTCCAGGATCTGAACTTGCAGGAGAAACAGCCGCGGGTTTCGCTGCTGCATCTTTAGTGTTTAGAGTGAGTACGAAACTAAAGTAACGCAAAATTAGAACACGAAATTTGTTTTTATTGATGGCCTTGATAAGTTTATGAGTATAATTCTAGAGTTGGGGGATGGGATAACAATATCCCAGACATTATTATTGAGAAATTTGTTTTTAGCTTAAATATGAAAACTTACTTAACTTTATAAAGAAACAAATGGTTTCGTTCGTCAAAAACTACCTATCGTGCGGGTCATCTGACGAGTGTACGATCCTCTAAGTTTTACGGGATTTCGCGTTCCAAGAGGCATTGTCCCTGAGCGTCCCGTCAGAGAACCCGCGGTGTCTGACTGCAGGCACGAGTACAGGGTTCAAATTCAATGGCAGTAGGCAGAATACTTCATATTTTTCTTCTCCATCACTCATGGTGGCCAACATCTCGTTCAATTAGCAGTGTTTTTCAGTGTGTTCTCTTACGCGGCTTTTCTCATATCCCTTAGGATTCTTTTGTCGCTTTGCTATGCAATCGGGTCATTTGTGTCGTTCTGCCCCTTTTTGGTGATGAACTATTTTAGATTTTGGAAATATGGGATATTTGTGACGTTTCACCGCGGTTGGATGTTTCTTGATGACTTCCTGTACAACATACCAATGTAATACAGCTAAATTGCTGACGCACTGTAAAGAATGTGGCCAGTAAATTAAACCATGTAAATTCAATAGTTACTCAATCCCCTCTATCACGATTGCCAAACGAACGTCACTAATTCGGCAAATCTTGTTTATTGAAGTATCGGATATGGCAGCAGTCGGCGAGCCATATTTACAATGAATGTAACCCATGTCATCAGGAATCTGACCCAGCCTTAGCCGACGACCTGGTGAGGAGGGCGCGAGAGCTCTTCGATTTCGCCGACCAGTACCGGGCGATGTATCACGAGTCCATCCCCAATGCAGTGGACTTCTATAAGTAACAAATGAATGTCATATAATTAACAGTATTAATAATATGCATATAGTTTTTTTTAATTCGTAGCTCATACCGAAGTAACTGTCCGGAGTAAAGGTTAATTATTATTTTGTATAATTGAGAGGAAGATAATTTACTTTACGATCAGTACGATTCAAATTTGATGTGTCAAAGTAGAACCACCAAAAAATGCAGCCATTAACAGACAAAGCTTAAGCTCAGTGAGAACAGAATTTTTTATCTAAAATAATAAAAACATAAATAAATTGCTTCCTATCGAAATCTATGCGTATGCTTTGAAGTGATGTGGCTGACCTGAAAATATTTATTCTGCATGCATATACAATTGTGAAACGCAACGCAAGCAACGAACCATTTTCAACATGAATCAAATCAAAAATATTATTAATTCGCTGCAAAAATTTGTTTTATTTAAGCAGTATATTTACAATAATTAAGCATGCATGTGAGACCAGGCTTGAGCTTGTAATGTAAAGTTAACAACCGTGATCCCAGTTTCACTGCCGATAGTTTTTCACTATCTGTATCGTAATTTAATTGGTGTAACAGTCTCTCCAGACTCAACTACTCCTTTTTGCGTATTTTGCGCGATTTTGACTACTCTAAAACAATTAACAAACAGGACACTGGGTCCTCAAAATTTGCAAATTTATAACGTTATGAATCGATTTTTGGGTATCGCTTACGACAAACTGATTCTGAAGTTGATTATTCAGTCGACGCTTCTTTTGTAACAGATTAACGACGACTTACTGGATACTACCAATACACATTCCGTGATCGTCTTCAGACCTTTCTGTGCAGTGCGCTATAACTACCTGATTCCTCATCTGCCAGGTCATGGAGTGGTTACGGAGACGACCTGGTGTGGTCAGCCTGTTGGCTGTACAAGGTAACCGGGGAGCAGTTCTACGCTGACAAGGCCAAAGAGTTCTGGGCGGAGTTCAATACGGCAACGCGCGGCACTGAAGGCTTCGGAAGTGATAACAAGAACGCCGGAGATCAGGTGCAGATATGCGCTTGTATATTGGAAGCTTACGTTGCAATTATATTAATTACACTTATACCAATTTCGGCTTCAACGAAAAAACTTACCTGGCAGCTTCTGGCGCATGGATGACACAAGTTGACAAGCCTAGCACGTGAACCAGCGGCTCTATGTCCGCATTCCGTTATTTTTCGGCAGGTACAATTAGCACCTAATTAGAGTCCGGCATCCGGCATATTCTCTTGCAGTCGTGAGTGACGGAGGCACCTGATACCTTCCTGGGCGAGGACGGCAGAATCTCACAAGTCGGGCTTAAAAACACCCCCTCCTGCCCCCCCTATTTGGAGGCAGGGAGGGACATTTCATTACCTACGTTGCGTTTTGCTTATCCCTGTTCTAAAAATTAATATTAAAAAGAGTATTTAGAAGAATGCAGTAGGCGAATAAATGTCTTTTTAATCTCGACAGTATTTTGTACCAGTAATAATATTATATATGATGACTTAAAAAGTTGCAAACAAATTGTTTGCACGTGTTTGTTATATCATCAGCTTCGTTACACTTGAAAAAAAATTACTTGAACAGTACGCAACATTTTATCAAACTAACCATCATTCAACATTCTTCCTCATTTAACAGCACTGTGCGTCCACCAACATTCAGCAGCGCTTCAGCATTCACTAGCGCTCAACATTCTCCAACATATACCAGAGTGAAACTATCTTCAACATTAACCAACTCCAAACCTTCTTTCACATTCACCTATCTCAAATATTCTGTCACTTCTACCAATACCATTCATTTCTCTTTTCCCCAGCACAAAGCATTCTTCAGCAATAATCAGTCCTTCGTGTTCTCCCACGATATTCACAAGCACAGCCTAGAATGAACTTAAAAGCCTATTTTAAGCATGGGCTTGACTTGCAATTAATGACAATTTCAAAATGGCGTGGTCAATTAATAGCAATTTCAAATTAGCTATCAAATATGGTAGCTAATTTTTTTCATCTCCAGGGTACATCGATGGAAGAGTGAAAATATTTTGAATTGTTCGCGGTAAATCCATTCAAGGCGCGGCCCGCATGCATTCCTATCTCCTCCGGCATTCACACGTTACATTCAGAATGAATTGCTAATGTCTCGCCTTTTCAGAATACGTCGCTAGAAATTATCGTCTCGCAAACTGTTTGGCATGGGTCTAAAAATTCTGCCTACAGAAGCTAAAAAAAATAAAACCATTACCATCGATGAAATTCTTCTTGGAATTAGCAGCCTTTATAAGGCTGCCGCCATGCTGGATACAAATTTAATAAATCTATTCTGCAATAATTTTTCAATGAAAAATGGCCCAGTACTTCGATTTCACTCCGGTCACAAACCTGACGATACAACGGGATAAAGTACATAATTACAGAAAACCGGTCACTAAATAACTAAAGAATCCGGTTAGCAGCCTTAATGGAATTTCAAGCGGGCTGCCGACCGCTAATGAAGACAGCCCGCAGCGCTCCAAATGTTGCCGGCCTGCGTGCGGTTGGAGTGCGTCCCATCATGGGACCAAATCGGCAATCACCAAATCCCCGCCTCCCGAAAGGGAGGCCCAAAGCCTGTTTTTTGGCCGGGCCGGCGCACGGACCCCCGTGTGTTGCTGGCGGTGTTGCTGCTGAGACCGGGGGATGTTGAAGCTAACCCGGGACCGGTGTGGGTGTATCAGATCTGTGGCCGCCGAATCACTAAGACACAGACGTCCTTCCGATGTAATTCACAATCACTACACTGGGTTCATGAAAAATGCACCACAATCAAAACAGCAGACTACAATAACAACTGGACCTGCAGTCTTCACACAGCACCCCCAATTACCATAAACCCACATATTCAACAAAACTTACCCCAGCAACACAACTCAGCATTACCACCCCAAAGACCCACTCAACAACCACAGTCATTAGTTCTACCAAACCCTCCAAACCAAAACCAAAACAAACCACAACTACAACCAAAAAACAGAGGAAACAGCCGAAACACCCTTAAAGTTCTTCAAATAAACATAAACACACTATCAAACAAAATAGATGAACTAGCCCTAGCTTAGCACAAACTCACACAAACAAACTACAAACAATCCAAAACACAGCACTCCGCATTGCAACAGGTTGTACAGCTGATACTAACCAAAGCCACCTACACACAGAAACAAAAACGCTTCCAATAGACCAGCACCTCAGACTCCATGCATCCCAACTCAGACTAAAAGCTCAAGCACCAACCCACCCAATTCACACTCACACTCAACCTTACAACCCACCCAGACTTATGAAACAAACAGTTTTCACAAACAGAAACTATACCACTAACATACTCATAGAACCAGACCAAGCCACAACAGAAACACTAAATAGATGCAAGAAACAAATACACACTACAATCACAACTAACTACTAGACAATCTACCAAACAATGCTGTACTCTCGGCACCAGCACCAGCCATAGACTCTTCAGAAACCCAATTACCCAGGCACACACGCCGAGCACTAGCACAACTCCGTACAAACAAGTCCCCCCTACTACACCAATACCTACACAAGATAGATCCAGCCACACATCCGTCCCCTCTTGGTCCACTCTGTCTCAGACATGAACACAACACCTGCCACCTGTTTGGCTGCTCGGAACTGGTCACGCCCTTGTCGCCCCTGGTTTTGTGAGACTCTCCCATCGAGGCGGCGGGGCTGTTAGCGCGCTGGGGAGAGAGGTTGGGCTGGCCACAGAAATGGGTGTAGGCCCAGTCCCGCACTTGTCGCGGGACGGGGAGGGCGAACAACAACAACAACAACTGCCCGCTGCCGATCCATAACCTAACCTATACTTAATTTGTGGAACTTTTGGTTCCTTAAATAGATTCATCTGTCATGGTGAATTAAAAATTAGAGCCTAGAGCATATTAAACCATGCAGCGGAAATAAATAACATGCTCTAGCAAAATATATCCCAAATTAAAAATTTCTATCGCTGCCAGAATCTTGAAAGCTCAATTGTGTGTTATTGAATGGTGGTGATCAGTACATATATTCTAGCAAAAACTACTTTTAAAAGCAATGACCGGCACTTGTAATAAATTCGCGTCGCAAAATGTGTTTAGAAATAACAATTTCTTGCTTTAGAACAGAATTGTTTCCAAATAGTAAACCCCACTATTCACGACGGATAAGATTACTTGATTGAAATGAGACGCGTTTATCAATCATCATCTATAGACACGTGACACTATACACAATTGAAGCAACGACTCAACATGAACGTCTCCGTTATTGCTTGAAGGCGGGCTAGTTAAAAAACCCTATCTTTCAATTGAGAGTATAATGAAGGTTGTTTTTGCATTTAAGACTGGAACGTTGGTGTTAAGGACATTGAGCGCGAGCCTGTCGCCATGTTCACAGAGCAAGCATATGCCATAAACTCATTACGAGCGTGTTGAGGATTAATCAATGCAAGCATTTTTTTCTGAACATTCAACGTCCGCCTGCTGCCGTACTTGCTATGCACGTGTGTTCATGCACATACTGGTATATCGCAAGCTTGTTAACACAAGCGTAACGCAAGCGTGTTGATAACAACGCAATGCACGTGAGTTGACGGTCACATACCGAAGTGTGTTGACGTAAACTGAAAGCAAACGTGTTGTTGAAGTTAACGCAGTGTCGACTTATTTTGCTAAACGCACGCGATGATCGCCTGTTGACGGACACGAAACGCAAGTGTGTTGAAGATCTTCTTCGATCTTTTGTCCAATTTCTGAGGACTTGGTTCTTCACCACTCGCCCCGCGTCCGGATAGATGTGTTGAAGGTAACACCTGAATATTTTCTGAACACACGCTCTGATCGTGTGATGACGCCCACGCATTGCACGCGTGTTACAAATAAAGTAATGTTCGCGTGAACAACACACTCAATGCCAGAGTATTGAAAATAACTCAAAGCAAACACGTTGACGTATACGCAATGCACGAGTGTTTATAAATTCGTACGTGTGGCCAGCCGTAAGTTTAGGATGTCATTCGATCCTATGTTTTTTTCATGGAACTACCCAAAGTTGTTAATATTTTGGGGCTGAATTTAGTAGGCGGCCGATTCAAGTCCGATTCACCACTAACCCTAGGGTGACGAGATTGTTTCGGGCGAAATCGGAATATAAATTTTGGGATAATTACGAAAAAACTAGAAACAGGGATGACAATTTCCTTAAAGTCATGTGTATCATAAGTAATGAGCCATTTCTCTCGTTAATACTGTGTATTTTTTTCTACTCTTTATTTAATGATGCGACTGATGAACAACTTTGAAATAAAAAGTATTTTACAAACAGGAAAATGGTTTCGGTGAGTTCCGAGTTTGAAAATACATGAGTGAGATCCTTAACGTCGTGCTTGAATACGAGACGAAATTTCACGCGCTCAATCCCATCCAAATTTTCTTACAGCGTTCATGGATTTATCATCGTAATAACTCTGCTGCTAGGTTTTGTTCGTGGAACTCTTTGGTGACGAGGAGTACGTGCAAGTCCTGACGGAGACGCTGAGGGCGTACCGCAACATGCCGCACACACCGGGAGGCATGCTCTACCTCAGCCAGTGGGGGTCTCTTGTTGGCGCCACGCATACCGCCTTCATCGCACTAAAGGCATGCAGAGTCTAAGAAGAATCATAGTGAAAATCAGGTCTTTTATCAAGTAAATTATTATTTGACCACAGACCAGTGCCAGGTTTTGACTTGCGACACGATTGTGTATATTTTACAGCGAATCACCAAGTGAATTATCTGAAGGGATCGAAAATGATTACGGTGATGGATGTATTTTACACAAAATTGTTAAAGCTTTTGGTATGGTTTTAATGACCATCAACAATTTCATGTTGTGAACTAATACAAATGATTCCTGTGAGCGCGAACTGATTTATGAGATATCGAAGTTTTTGCAGGGAATATCTGTAGATTTGCGTGGATGTAACATAAAAATGTAAATTGCATCAAAATTTTCTTACACAAAATAAAAATTTTTCTAAAATAATGCAAATAATCTGATCAAAATACTACTCTGACAGGCCGCTGACCTCGGAATTGAGCCTGAAGTCAACAGGGCGTGGGCCGAGCAACAGATCAACTACGCGCTTGGGTCCTCCGGCCGATCATACCTCATCGGTTACGGCGACAATTACCCGCTAAGGCCTCACCACAGGGGCAGGTGGCTGAATATCCCGCATTACCAACATGCTAATTATTGACAGCCTATATACAAGTATTTAGTTAATAGCCTATCCTGACAGTTGTTAATCTCCTGTCTCAATTTAGCTTTTGCTGAAATTTCTGAAATGTGTTTTGGAGTAATGGTGTTTTCTTGCTGTATCCTAAAAATTCATACCAACTACCACATGAGACGTGTTTTTAAGTTGTATGCGGCTTAAATAATTTCTATTTGAACAGCTCGTGCCCTAACTTGCCTGAAGTTTGCGACGACGGTTGGGCCTTGAACCAGCCTGGGCCAAACCCTCAACTTCTCTACGGCGCCCTAGTGGGAGGACCTGACATGGTGAAGAAGGGAGTAGTAGATCGAGTAGCCTAATTTTTTCATGTTTCGTAATTCAATCCTCGAATTTCTCAGGATATCTCATCTGAGTCGGACAGCAAATTGGATTAGTTTCACGCTTGTCCATGCAGTGTGTTTCAGTTGGTGAATGGTATTCGGTAAGATTTTTAACCTTCATTATAGTACTATAGTGTGAGTGTGATGGCGTGGGACATGGGACCGAATGCTGCGAGGTGACTCGTCCGGAACTTAGTAGACGAGTAGACTCGATACGGTTGCTCACTCCAGGGTCCTTATTATATGGGCTATAATGCTGCTACTATAGACTCTCATCAGGCGGACCCTACCATCGGTTGTCATTGTCTACCATACCAAGCAGGAGTTGATATTAATTAGAGCGATTGATCTCAAAGCGCGAGAAACTTGTCTTATTTTAATTCGTTATTTCTTGCTCGGAGAGGATTGTGACAAATTTTTATAAATATCCGAAGAAATTAAATTGCTTATTTCTTAAGACGATATTGTTTGGAGCTCATATTTTGTTGCCGCCACATATGACCAGCTGGTGTTCTCGTGTTGCAGAGCGACGGCTACACGGACGAGCGCAGCGACTACGTCCACAACGAGGTCGCGGTGGGTTACAACACGGGCCTCACGGCCTCCCTCGCTGCCCTCATCTCCCTCGCCCAGGGCTGATGTTATATCAGTTAAACTGACTGATTTAAATGGAGACGAAAAATGTTTTCATGTTTTATGGGTTTCAACTGTAATTAAAGTTTTTGTGTTGTAGGCATTGGGAATATGCTAGTGTCGATGTTTACTTGAAATTTGATGCAGCAGCAGAATTTTACTAATAGTATCAAATTACAACCGTTTTTGCTAATATAGTTATAATCTAGAGGATTCTGAACAAATCTTCAAATTCTGTCAAAACAATATTATTAATTTTGACACGAAAACTTTGACTTCTCTTCGGTGCCGCACTGAAATGCTTTTTTCACCTTAAACTTGATCCCACACATTTATAACGAATAAAATTTGTTTTGATGTAAACTTGCAATAACAGAGACTTGTTTTACTTCCACTATTCTGGAAAAACGTAAGAAAGCTTATAAGAAGTTTATCTTGTGATTTAACTTCATAACTGGGTCGTTTGTACAGTTAGTTTAATGTTCTGCTAACGCTTTTAATTGGTGTCACCGTTAAATTCGCTGAATATGAGTCAGTGAGTCGATGTTCAAAAATTAGTTTGCGTGTGTTCCTAAGCGCAAATACGTCAACGTTTATTTAAACCGCCATTCTCATTAGGTTTAATGCCGACTTGTCAAAACGAACCTATTGCTCCCAGGTGCTCCATTGCGGTCATGCATCTTAATAATTAATTGTTACGTTCCGGCGGACAATAAGTTCTGGTGACAACGGCTCATGATTATCATATATTAACGACAAGTGAAACTTAATAGCGAGCTTTAATAACAAGATTTTTGTCACAGGTTCAATTTATCACTCATACATTTTCGGTAGCATATCATATTGAAGTTACAAGAGAAGGCTAAATTGATTGCGTGAAAACTAAAACTCCAACAATTGCGACAGTCAAATGTCGTGAAATGAATTTGAGTAACAGAAACTAACACGAAAAGCACAATGAAACCTTTACAAAAATCGCATATAAATTTTGTTTTCACATGGAATACTTCAAAAAAAATTGAACTTCATGTTGGCTACAAGACAACAGAGCAACGCAAATTGGTGATATCCAGTCAATATTTTCACAATAAACAAGCATCATAACAAGTATTTACAAAGAATAATAGAGTGTTAAGCAGGTTTAAGAAATTACTTAATTGTAGCTGTACATTCTTAGTAATAAATTCGCAATATAACTTAATATGGGTAAACTGGATAAAAATTCAAAATGAAATTTGATCTATTTTAGTTATACCAATTTAAAGGAATTGCGCGGGAATGTCTCCTATACGATGGAGGTTGAATGAACGAAATCCAAAATTAACTTTACATTGCATGGCAAATAATGGCGTTAAATCATGATTGATTCAAATTAATTACGTGGCCTATGTTTAATTTCTTCACATAGCTTGTTACGATCCAATTTATAGCCACAAATGCCCTTAGATAATAACTAAAAGAGCTGTGGCAGTTTTCAAATATTTATCAAAACATCAACTGAAGCGACTTGGCAACTGAAAATATACACTTTATACAAATGGTTCTTCGTCTGTATACTTTTACGTGCATGAGAACAATTTAAGTGAACAATTGGCTATAAAAAAGATTAATTCAATCATCAGCTAATAATAAATGATTATGAAAAACTAAAGGGTACGACATCGCTAGCATGTGAGCATTGCTATAATTTTTGTCTGCATCCACACTCTTCTTAATAAATAGACAAATCGTTATTTGGACATTCAACATTTAACTTCAGGTAAATTATCTTTGGCCTACCAATTATGTGAATAGGATTCAAATTAATTTTGAGAAACGAGAGCATATGTACAAAAATTTACCAATGCGTAATGAGTGTAAATCTAAATACTAATGATATAAATATACATATACGTACCCTAACGTATCTCCACATAAAGGCAATCAGAAGACTGCTTAAATGAAAATAAATTTACTTAGTCGTGTACTCACGTTTGGCTTACATGCTAGTGGAACTAATATAGTCTATGTCTACGTTACGCTGTTAAGTCTTAACACAAAGGCAATGAACAAATTGAAATTTTATTTTAGAATTTGATCCAAAGACCTCGACACGTCCACAAGCTCGAGAAAAAAAATTAGGAAAGAGAAAAATTAGGAGAAAAAAGCTCGAGGAAAGAAAATTAGGAAGTAGACCAAATTCTGAAAGTAGTGCTTAGTAGCGGCATCAATATACAGAATCGTCGTCGTTACGGACAAAGCAGTTCAGCCCAATATAACTGTAGAATCATAAAAAGAACTTTGATAATTGCAATTTGGCAAAACGGTGATATTACTCGAATATCTCAAAGAATTATAATAAATTCATTTATGCAAGTAAGATATGCATTTCTTGCATATATCAGGAAAGTGCCAGTCACGGTTCAGTCCGGTCACGGGAAGTCCTCACTCCAGTTCCTTTCGTATCTCGTGCCATGACAATCACCGTGCAGCGTTGCTAAATGGTACATTTCCATACCAGATTTCACAAATATTATTACTATTATTATTATTCCACGAAGAGATTGTCGTGGCGTCTCGTTCAGATCGAACTTCGAGGGCACGTTACAAGTGGCTAAAAAAGACACGAGAGGATAAAAACAGATGACGTCTATGCTAAAACAGAGGACATATGCCAAATATGGTTTGTTGAGATGAAGTCTTGTATTGATATTTTACAATTGTATATTCGCAAAAAATCTTATATGTTGAGCTCGGCAAAGGTAATTGTTAGAAACGCAGCAGTGACGTCCCGGTCAAAATATCTTTAGCCTTGATCGCTGCTGGACCATGCCAGGCATGGCAGGTGCCTTGCACGGCTGGTGTGAATGTTTCTATAGAAATTCATTAAGGAATGTTGGACTGGACTGTGACTGGCACGTGCCCGGCGGTATGGTGCTTCCGGGGGCGCACCCGTAGGCCACGAATTTTACTCTTAAATAAGCCCTGGAGCCAACGCCTGGCTTCACCATGCATTAACTTTACTCAGCCTCAGAACTAGAAGCCGCAGACTACGCTTGAACTCCGTAATCCAGACAAGCAACACACTGCCGAAAGATAATAGCGCCGTAGGTCTTCAGCCAATGCTCAAGCATGCTCGTTCATAAGCAGGCAGTTCCCCATCCGGCTGTACCTACTCCGGCCTAACCTCTTCTGGCCTAACCTATTCACGCTGTCCCGGCTCATAACCTTCTTGCAGCCAATGACTGGCTCTACCAGCACACTTAGACCACCTTTCTAACTTCTTGCAGCCAATGATATTAGGTTAGGTCCGCTCAGGTTTGTTTTGGATGGAGAAAGGTTGCAGCTCGGATACGTTAGACCTGAAGAGGTTAGGCCAGATGAGGTTTGGCCAGATGCAGTATAGCCATGTTTAACTTTGGCAAGTTTATTTTGTGATTGTGGACATCCGGCGTTATGGATTTGAGCACTTGACTTCATAGGTCGTTATGCACTCTAGCGTTCTTACCTATGGAAAGGAATATGAACTAAGTGTGAAGTTTAGCAAAGCTGGCCTCCGGCATGCGCCCCGTGTTTTCCAAGCCTTAATCTTTTGAAACAAAAATTCGATAGCTTTGAAATAAGAAGGAATTATCGATATATCAGCTTGATGAACGTAAAATTTTTCCGTGAAGTAACAGCCTCGCACCTAATTTGAAATCTTTTGCTACCATGCGGTAAGCCGGTAAATATTAAGAGAAAATTCAAGAGGCCATGTAAAGGGAAATGATTCAAATAGGAAATGAGGGCGGACTCAAAATTAATAGTGTCTTAAGCATATTGGAAAGAAACAAGCTTCGACACGAGGTTCGGAACATATTTAAATTATTTAAGTAAAAAGGTTTAGAACATATCTCAATAATTCAAGCGAGAAGCCCAAGCTCAAAAGTTTAAGGCGGCCGCTCCACAGTACAGGCATAGTCAAAAATTAATACTGGAGTTGGCCCTCTTCTAAATAGAGAAAGAGGTAACAAAAATTTTAGACGAAAATAAATAAAACACAAAAAAAAATTACCACTTGAACGCAAGAAATACATATTAGGCAGGAACAGCTTCAATACTCTTGCCAGAGCAACAATTAGATGGTAGTGTTTACCTCAATTTTCAATGCCAACAACACTATTTACAGGTTCCTACTTAAATATAATCATGGAGAAACAGAATCAATTAATTTTACAATCCATGAAATTATAAAATTTCTAACAATGTTACAACAAGTCATCTTGAGGGCTAGAAAGAATGTCTATAAGGAGTGTACTCGTGGGGGTTGCAATTTCTCAAGTCATAAATTATTCAACATTTACGAATAACTAAGCTTCACCTACAGAAACACATGACACATGTATCGAATATTTGTTGCATTATGGATGGCGTATGAATTCTTAATCGATTCATTTGATCATCTCGATTTCATAGCTTTTTTAAAATCATTTTGAAATTATTTTCTATATTATAAACCAGGTTTTGCCTCTACGTCAAAATAAACTACAAATGTGAAACGGTGTGATGTTTCAGATAAATGAAGTTTTCATTTTTGGCAGTAGCAGGTTTTAAAAACAAATAAATAAATACATGGATATCAGAGTTTTCTAGTAATTTATTCATATAGGCTTGTTAATCAAGTTTGCTTAAGTGTATAATCGACTGGCCTGCAGGTATTAACCTATACGAATTAGAAATCAAGAATGCCATGAAATGTATGATGTTTACTTATTCAGTCGATTGCTAATAAGATTGATACTAAATTATTCAAATCGAATGTTCCGGTGATGTTCTTTCGTTTAATGAGTGAAATTCCAACAGCAACTGAGTTGTTTAAAAAAAATCCATTAACTTTTAGGTAGGAAACACGATCAAATATAAGTGTAGATGACTACTAAAATTAAAACTAAAATTAAAATTCATGAATAATTCAATTTCATTGAAGTCGCATGCATGTAATTAATTGCGAAAAATTAAATTTTCATTTTCCCGAAACTTACGGCATGTTCAATGGAGGTGCTAGTCTGAACCTCCTGCCTGGAGGTACGCGATACTCGCGCTGTTCTTGCACCCGCTGTTGGCTGAAGAGCTGCTCTCCTGGTGGCGCGGCAGTGACTGATGATGTTGTAGTATCGGAGGTCCTTCGAGAGGCGGCGGTAGATCTCGAGCGCACACGAGTTGTGTGTGGCATTTCCGGCAACGGAGTGTCTAACACAGATTTAATAAGATGAACCGAAGAAGCGGATGTTTGCAATGAACTTGCTGAGGAAAACTTTTGTGGTTCGGAGTGCTCGGGTTCTACACTCAAAAGGCGTCGCTGGAAAGGCGTATTATTCGTTTCATTAGTAATAACTTGGTCTGAAGTACTGACGTTCCCGTAGCTGTTGGCCGTCAGATGACTGGCCAAAGGAACACCATTACGATTTTCAGCAGTGAATACATTTCGAGTGTATTGCCGATAGCGATCCAATAAAACATTTAGCTTACGACGAGCGTCCATCGCTCCGTCTGATTTCAGAACTCCACCGCCACCCGAATTGGCTCTTTGGCTCGAACCCCATTCTTCATTCAGTGGGCTGTTCGACTCGATTACCAGATCTTTGACGCTGACGCCTTCCCTGCATATGTCGAGAAATGTCATTCATGAAAATAATTCTTGTATGTAACAAAAGCTTAGAAAAATGTAATACTGGCCTCTGTTATTTAGATCATGTATTCATTATACTTACGGGCTTACTGCGGATGACTCCAAATTCCATTCAATCCCTGGAATGTTGCCAACTTCGCTGAGAGGTTTATCTTTGCTTGGAATGATCGTGTCCACCTGAGTAGCGTATTGGCCAATGCTGTCTCTTTCTGACCCTGACTTTCGTTTCGAGATATTTTTTCTTTTACTTTGTTGTCTTTTCTTCGTATTTCCTCGATACAAGATATCTTCAAGTGAACCCATTTCTTCCAATACCAGAGTACCTCGGAAAGGCTTATCAGCTCGTGGCCTCTCATCGGATCCATCTTTGACTTCCTCCTGACTGCTATACTTAGTCAAGGGTTTGTAAATTTCCTTTCTTCCTCTTTCCCACGATTCGAAAACGTCTCGTTTTTCATGGCGAGATCCTTCTGAAGACTCATAAATTTTATCTTTGTGATATTCATTCTTCTGTCGTTTTTCTTTCGAGTCTCGAGCTGTGTACACCCATTTATACTCTTGGGATTGTTTATCTTCTTTATGCGACGAATCAAATAGACGAGAACTATCCATGATTGGGGAATTTTTTTTTATTTCCCGTGATGACAGTCGCACATACCGCGGTTGTTCATCTTTCTTCGCGTATTGCCAGTCAGGGAATTCCAATGAACGAGTGTACAAGCCCGAGTCTTCAGGGTCATCATAGAAGTAAGAATCGCCCTTTTGGATCCTCTTACGATGCGAATAACCTCCACCTCCTTTCTTTTTGGGAGCAGAGTGTATGGTTCCGTACGATGGCCTCACTTTTGTTGTCCTCGCCTTCTGAATTCTTCCTCGAACTGTCTTATGCCTGGTGACTTTTGGTCTTGATTTTTTCGATTTTTTACCGTAACCATCGTCTGTTGGCACGGCAACAATAACGTGGCCTCCATCATATCCTGTATGACCGTACCCTTCGTCTCCGTAACCTTCATAATCGTTATCTTTGTCTTTGTAATGAATATGAGACGCAATCAAAATTGCAAGCACTCCTCCTAAGCCAAGGAGAGCCCCAGCGGTCAGAGCTGCGAGCAGCGGCAGTCCGAGAAGTAGACCCGTATTGTTGTTGATGAATGCAGGCTGAAAAAAAAAAATTCTGGGTAAATCATTTTTTCTAGACTCGAAATTGTCGATTAAAGCTAACTTATTTTTATCGCATGATGTGACAAAACGTATTGGGTCAGATAGTCACAACGATAAATTAAAGTGAGCCTTCCTAGTAATGAATGGATCACGATTGAAAATTGTTATCAGATTAAATGAGTACAATTGGTCAATGATGAGATACTGAAATTCTTGAGCGTCTTATCACTACCCGTGACCCTGACCGTTAATTCTCGCGTAATGAGATAACTCATTCATTGGATGAATATAGTGGAATTAAGTGACCATAAAAATGTTTGACAACTTTTTTCCATGCATGAAATGATAAATAATTTTTTTAACCAACCTTGGTGATGTTGAGGAAGGGAGAGGTAAAATTAAATTTCGGGAACGCTCCAACAAATGTGTAATTTTTGGGCGAAGTGGAGATTGCGAATGAAATGTTGATGTTCTTTGGTTGCGGATTTTGAAGCAAGGATGGAACATCTCTTTCATCCGCAGGTAAGTCTGTACTCTCGATGTCCGGAGAAAAACTTAGATTCCAGATTTGTTGGAGTGAGCTGCGAACTTCAGATCCGACTCTACTCAAATATTCAGATACAGAGGAAGGGTTTGTTTTCGATAAACTTTCTACCATGTTGGAAAGTGACAAGCCTTCATAGAAGCTAAAAACGTCGACAAGCTCTCGAGCGTGCTCGATTGATGTCCTAGACAGAAGCTTTTCTTCAATGCCACTGGGATTTTGCAGTACTTCGAGGAGTTCTCCTACACTAAAATTGGAATGTCCGAAGGTGTCGGTTAATACGGGTTCAAGTTTTTCTAGGATTCGCTGCCCCATCAGATCTGTTGAGGCTTCATCTACTAAATTGTTTTCGGTTTCAAGTTCAATTTCCAGATCTTTGTCGTCACTGTCATCTTGATTATCAGTGGAACCCATGAAGTAGCTGAAAAACTTGGTTAAAAAACTACCGCTCGATTTTGACAATCGCTGGGGAGTCGAATAATTATTGTTCATGATTTGCTGAGGATTAACTGGAATCGCAAATTTAGAGCCAAGTAGTTTAGAAAAAATACGTTGCACGTTTGAGATTAAATTGTGATCTATTTGTCTCTGTTCTCTCGTAATATATGGTAATTGTTCTTCAATCACCAGCGGGTTCGCTTCATTTTTCACTAGTTTCAATTGCAATTTCCGTGCCTTGAATGGCTGACGTTCTAAGAGCTTGCCTGTGCCAACAAGTCCATGATGGTCTTTATCGGTTTCAAATTCTGCGTGTAAATCGTGTGAACTCCCGACATTTTCTGTTCCAAAAGTGATGTTTTTCTTGCCAGAATGTTTTATAAAGTGCTCATTGAAACTCAAGTCGATTTCAGTCACTGTTTGAATCTCTTTTGATCGATTTAATTGATTAGAATCTGTTTGTTTTGACCAAAATAAGTTTTGTAGATTAAACCTTGCGAGAAAATTTGAGTTAAAATTAACTTGACTGTTCCAGAAATGTCTGAATGGCAGGACGGCATTCGAGAACCATGCTCCACTTTTCCTTAATGCTTGATGTACTTTAGTTTTAGCAAAGTTACCAAATTCAGTGGATTTCGTTTCGTTCATTTCTTTCATTCTCTCCTGAGTTGCGAGGACATCTTTTGTAGATTTTAATCTAAGATTGTCCAAAGGGGAGGCATCCGCAATATCTTTAACGAGGCCATTGCAGCCCAGCACGAGTACGGTGAGGAGCAGCGCTGTGCGCAGCGTCGTCATGGTTCCTCTGCCGCCCGCTTGCCTGGAGAATAATTAATCAAGTATTACAAGAATTAACATAGGAATTTGTTATCGATCAAAAATTGCACATAGAAAAATTAGTAAAGATTCAGACAGACTATTACGCTTTTCGAGAGCGATGAGATGAAATCTGGAAATTAAGAATTAAAGCATATTCGAGAAGAAAGTAAGAAACATTTCATCTAAACCTAGAAAAATTATACGATTTGAAAATTTCTGGAGCTTGCGTCGCAATGGCTTAAGTAATCTCTACCCCAACACAATTACGGAGAAAAGAGGCTCGTAAATTGAAGTCGAATGGCTTGTTTTTTTTGTGAAATGCGGTTTCATGTGGAAGAGGACTCTCCGATGTGAAAACTTGTACTTCAAGTCTCATCCAGCCTCTTCTTCAAGAAATTTTGAGGTTACGAGAACAGCTCCTCGGACTAGCTGGACGGGAGCAAAAACTGGACTTGCGTCTACGAAACAACAGAGAAGCGTCCGCCAACAGCGCCCATAATGTCGGCTTTATTTTATTCCCGTAATAACGAGTAAAACGTGAGCCATTATCTCAAATGAGACGAAAAATATCTAATCCAATTGTGATGGAGGCAGTAATTTTACAATAAATTATTACCTCTACCACAAAAGTTGTATTAAATTTTTTTAAGGTAAGAATTAATCTTAAAATGCAATAAAAGACCAAAGAAATTATCATGCTCACACTATTTCAGTTACATTTTAGATCTCAGTTGACAGGCAATCTCAATATCTTCAGAAAATTGTTTTTAAAAGTCTCGTAAAAATTTAAATCCAGTATTTCGCTAACGAACGAAAAAAATTCTATACAATCTGCTGCAAAATTCTAAAAAATTTGTGAAAAAATGAACAAAATGTTTGTAGATACTTGCATCACGGCCATAATCCATCACCCTTTTCTCATCATTAATGAAGGAATTTAGTCACACAAGTTTAGTACAACAATGTAGTCCGTTGCATGGAGGTCAGTTCTCTCACAGCCTTTTATATAACAAACGACGCACAACCTAAATATTGCAATTGGTGTCCCTAATCTTCAGATATATTTTTTTTATGCTTATGCGGTGAAGCGATCAATATCAACAATGAATTTCAATAACAATGAATTCCTGAATATTTTTAACGTTCGGCTACTAATTAGTATGTCACTATACTGCGTTTATTGATATCGTTCGAATATCCTACCATAAACCTTGAAAAGATCCACCTCGAGAACCTGGCTGTACTTATAATCTTGATTACATAAATTTGTTCGCGCACTGGAACATAAATTTCATCAGAAGAAAATTACACACAAATAATACAGCAGCTACAGTAGTTTTGATTAATAATTTCAATAAAAGATACTGAATAAATTAATGAATCGTCAAACAACAAGTCAGAGACCGTCGGTTAAGAAGTTTTTTCTGATCTTGTAATAAAAACACGAAAAGTAACCTTAGTTTTGTAAAATTTTGCTAAAAGACTTTTAAACATCATAAACATGCTACCCGATTTTTTTAATGGTAATTAAACTGTAAAATCTAGTCCGAGAATGTTGTTTTACCAACGCACAGCAATTTGCTTACCTTAAATTAGACATCTTAGTATGTGGAGAGGCTAAGCAGCGCTGTTGAACGTGGCTCTGTCAAAAATTTTTAGACTCTTCGCTCTGGTTCCATATGAGGTTCTAATATCCATGGGTTTAAACTCATATAACCAACAAATTATTTTACTAGATAATTTTCGAATTGTAAGAAATTTCAATTGCGCTGCAAAATATTAAAATTTGTAAAGTTAGTCCTTTATGTGCCAAAGAAATAACATGGGAAAATATCTGTACTGAACATTCTTAACGACTCTATTAAGGAATTATTGCAACTACTATTTTCAGCCACGAATCGCTCTCCCAATTTTCGCTGCAGGCATTAACCAACAAGCTACATCAAATCTACATAATCTGTAGCTATTAAAGATCTTCTTATTTTTCATAGCGTTTTCGTCTATGCTTTCGATTCAGCGGGAAACAGGAATCGGTACATGCCGGAGGTGGTCCGGCTATCCTGGTTAGAAAGTGCGGATCATGCGGGCTGCGCACACTCCACTGAGCTTCTCCATGCGCCAAAAAAGCGGTCTGGTCGCCACGCGGCGCAGCAACCGCCCGCCCTAGCTGGCCTCTTCAGTTAATGGTGACACTCGTCTACTTCATGTTCCGTCTTATAGCAAAATAAACACGAATTACATCCAAACTAAATCACAAAAAAAGTGAAAAGTCAAGTATCTCAACCCTATTTTTGGATAATCTCAAGTAGAATTTCCTTCGAAATGTTAGTTAACAACTTTTCATTTGTTCAAAAGCTGGAAGTTAACCCCCATAACTTTGTTTTCTATTCTACGTCTATTAATAGCCAGATAACCCTGTATTGTAAAAGATCGAATACTCATCGAGTAACAAACTCTACTTCTCATTATTCAACGTGTAAACGAACAATAAACTCTAGAAAAATATTTTGAAAAGTGAAGAAGTTTGAATGAATTACATTTGATTTATAAATGATTACCTTACTGTATGCATATAAGCTACTTGCAGTATATTTCAGCTGCCATAGTAAGCAAGGCAGCGGCGTGTTAGTTACTTTTACCGCTAACTCCCTAGACGCCGTCGGCATGGACGCGCCCTCATTCGAGGGCCTATAGAGCGAGCTTGACGTTTAGAGCTGTTATAGAGCGAGCTTGACTTTTAGGGGACGAATTCTCAGAATTGCGATACCGAAATTTCCTTAAATTCGTTTACTCTAATGTAGGAAAAATTTATCCTTAAGGTACAGCTTACAATTATAACTAATTAGAGAAAAATTTCTCATTACGTAATTGAATCAGTAGATAGAGTTTCCTCAATTATCGCAATTTATGTATTGAAAAATTTATTTGAAACATATTCGATTTTATTCTAACATAAAGAACTTAATGATATTGAAATATTCTTAGTCTTCTACATAGAGGTCACTTCAAAGCATTTAATATTGAAAATTTTCGAAAAACGACAACGTTTTAATCTAGTTAATATCTGAGCTAAAACTACAACGTTATAATCTAGCTAAATCTGATCTAAAAATTTTACCGATCATTTCTAAGTGAAATGGAATGCATGCATTCAATAGATGAACTAGTATTTTTGATAAACGGTTGGTTGAGATTTATGTGGATTGAACATAAGACAAATTTTGTACACTTCTATATATTGCAAAAATCGACTCTTGGCTCAGTTTTGCCTCATCGTCAGAAAATGTGGAGTGTGCAGAATAATTTACCCCGTTAATATTATTTATTATTAAATTATAACTTTTTGTCATCTGCGACACCATTTATTATCACCTGAATCGAACCATAAGCATAAGGGCTAGTGAAAAGAATTTATTCACAGCCAACAATCATATGGAAACGCGCCTAACAATTCAATTGTACAGTTAAATCTCAGGTGCATCTGGAACTGCAACTACAGGAATAGGGAAATTGTCGAGCTTTAGAGAGCGCCATTGAGCGAAAGGCTCGATTCCAGTTTTTAGATTTCGGCAAACATCTATGACAAGCTTCGAGAAATCAGAAAGTGTTATTACATACGATGAGTTTCTACTTTTTTGGATCATTACGCCTTCATTGTATGAGCGAAAAAATTGCTCAAATCTTGAAGTGCAGGGTTAGTCAAGACAGAGTAACGGTTAAGCAGATTGAAGCAAGCGAAGACGGAAGCCATTGTTTATAAATTTCCATAATGAATGTTGTTATTATTTAGATATTTGTAGCATTACATGCTCTTCCGGCTCCGATGAACAGTTTCTCTTCATTCCCATACTCATACACAACAGAAATTATGCAAATGTCTTTGATGACAAATTTTTAGGTTAAAACAATTTTTATAAAACAACGGACCGTTAAATCACATAATAAAGAAACACAAATTCTTCAATGTAACACTAAAATAACAAGAGTGTAAACATTATATTATATTATTACAAGCACTAACAGAAATATGAAAATCCAATGAAATCACTTTCTCCATCACAAGATAAAGATAATGTTATGACGTGACTGCTAATAAGAACTAAAGTGAGTGATCAGATAATTAATTTGAAATTTAGACCATTACTTTGGAATAAATGAATCACTGGTGAACCATCAAAATTTCAACAACTATGTCATCTGATTTAGAAGCAACACATGATTAAATATTTCAACGGATTTGATTTTTTTCGAGAATTGTCATCATTGATTAATTTATACGATCTGGAATTGAACTCGGAATTGTTACGATACGAAATGAACTGAAAAAACAGCTCGATTCCTAAAAATTTGAAGAATTCTCGGTAAGATAAAATACAATGAAACTTGAGAGGCATGCGCTCATTAACTGACATGAGACCGGATTCATTAAGGATGTTAAATGGTAGTGGGCGCAACTGTGGCATCAATTGAATCGTCACTTTGAAATTTGTCAGCTAAGTATGATTAATAAGCAATATTTTCAGACATATACTAGTAAAACTTCAATAGTTTTTTCAGTGTCTAGTCCCTGGGTCGGGTGATGCAGCGAACGAGAGATGTGCCACTGAACGCGACTCGGAAGCTTCTGCGGATCTGCCCTCCAATACCTCCTCCTGCATGGCGGCATCCGCCCCTGCGGCCACCGCGTGCTACTCCGCATTGGCGAACCTGTCTATGAGCCTGGCGCTACCAGGGAATGAAGATGTTGCAAATGACCTGGATTCCAAAGTAGTTTCCGCATGAGTGGAAGGTCTGGTGAAGATTCCAGCACGCGTAGTCACAAAAAATTCATGTCTTGATGTCGAAACGAGAAAATGTGGCAGACAGTATCAATTTTGAAGCAGTGTCGAAGTAACTACCTTGGAAAAATAGAAATTCCATGAATTTCACGTTACCATTTTTGCACTCTATTTGGGTAAAGTTCTACCGTGGAAGCAACTAATGCATTTTAGCAAGTCAGAAAAAAAGTGAACAAAAAAACAAAGGCATCACAGTAAAGATTTTAAAAAATAAGTGAAGGTGACACTCAAGCACCTATGACACCATGCACCATACACAGATGCAAAACGGGCTCACATTAACATGATCACATCAAAGCTTGGCGGGGGCCCCCAATCTTGCATAGATTTCAGATGGAAAAGCTGCATGTATCCTCATCGAAGCAACTGATAGTTTATTCGGCAATGTTCCTGACATTAACTTAAATTGTAGCTTGATCAGGTGTCAAAGAAAATATTGCTGTGCACGGTTTGCGTCGTAAGGACCGTCGTAATTGATATATTGTAGTAGTTTTACGAACTCAAATGTTCTTGATAGCAGACAAAATTATTGTACTTAATGCGTCGTATTCAATCAGAAATATGAACAAGGCTTTCAGTTTTACATCCAAATATCACCCAAAGAAATTTGCTAATGGGTCTTCATGTGGTCTATGAAATGATAGGCGTGGATTTCCTGAAGTGCTGTAGGAAGTAAGCAGAAAATGCCACAAGCAACAACACACAGAGAATCGAGTAGAGAATATCGAATGTTCAAGGTCTGTAATTATGCATGAATAAATGCATACAATTTTCGAATATTGCATGAATCTTGAAAAATTTACTTTTGGAAGTACATTTGATTGCATGCGTCCGAAGAAATGTCGGAGAAATTTATTTAGATTGGACAGATAACAAAATATATTTGACTTGAATTGGTTTATAGCTTACAGTGACGCGGACAACTAAGTTCAATCAATTTGAATCGAATTAGACTTTACAATAGAAAACATCAGAATGAGAGCATCTGAACTTCAAAGAGATGATTAGCGGTCTTGTTGCATAGAAATTCATGATGGTACAATATTTCGTTAACACTCACTTATTTTCCTGATGTTGACATGTGTTAGCTCGCAAATATTCAAAATAAAAACGACTAACCAAACCATCGAATCAGACGTTATTCTTTAATGTAATAATCTTCTGCGTTAAAACATTACTGTATATCTGACAATAAATTAACAAATTGAGTGAAGATATGAAGCGTTGCTAAAAGCCTACTGCTTATATATTTTGCCCTGAAAACAATGTTTTAAAATAATAACAGGTTTGAAGTGAAAAAAAATCTTTTTATATTTGACGCAGCCAGAACTTCGTTACCAAGTCAATTGATTATCGAAGGTGTCAAACTTGTCAGCCCCATGCACCTACACCTCCAGGCTCCACGTCGTATCTTGCCTACCCATTTGGGTCAGGGCGACACGAGGGCTCTTGAGATCTGAAGTGATATTTCCTGAATCGCAGAGCAGCACTGGTTGACTTAAGTGGAAGCTTAAGACTAGAAAATAAGATCTTGAGCAATTCCCTCGTAACTGGTGCAACCGGACAGGCCATCAGTTCTGATGTGACCATTACTATCCACGAGTGTTATTTTATGCATGTAGATGGCTGCACGTGGTATCTCGAAAAAATTCAGTATTTTCCAAGAATGTATGTGTGGATAGTCAAATCTATTAATACACTTTTTAGCAGATAGGATGCAAGTATTAAATAAGGAATAAGCTAATAGTGTTTTACTTCAAAAGTTATATATTTTTTATATTTTCAAGTACAATAAATTTTTTAGATTTTATATTATATACGTTACATTATTTATTTATAACTTTTTTATATATTATATTTTTAAAAGGAACATTGAATCAAAGCCATAATAAATTATGCATTCTTTATTATTTTTTCAAGCAGGTTTCATTGAAGACCACAGAATTTGTTTATTCGCAATTTTCTTATTTTTATTATTTGTGCATCGTTTAAGTCGCTGAAGACACATTGAAGCTACTCAGGCTTTGATCCATGTAGCCAATTTTGTCGGGATATTACTTTGATCGAAAATTTCATAAGAAAAGTTGCAGTATTATATTTCTTTAGCAAAAGTACAAAATTTTTATATTAATTCATTCAAATTGAATCCATAGTTTAAGAAATCTTAACAAGCCTAGATTGCAATCGTATTTTATGTAAGCAAACAGACAGTATGAGTAGTTTAGCATCACGATTAGTCTATATAGAAATTATAGATTAACTATAATATAACTGCTGTCACTCTTCGTTTTCTGTTACCTTAAGTTTGACATCAACATTGTGATAATATATTTCTTGCACAGGAAGTTAAATCAAACAATACGTTACATGAGGATTTCAACAGGTCTTTTTCTATCACCTCTACTCAAGTTAAGGAACAATCTGCTCAGGAATAGTAGTGCATGCCTAAAATCGCATAAAACTCATTGAGATTGTAAAAAGATACAAAAAATTATTAATCAAAATTGCTTATTTTGATGTAATTGATTGCCATGATTAAACATTGGTTAGTTTTTAATATTCATAGAGTAGGTATAGTATCGACTCGTAGTAGTAGGTAGGTCGATACTATATATGACCTACCTATACTCGACTATATATATCTACTACGGTAGGTATATATAGTCGATATCAAGAAATTAACTCATATGTGCATGGTGTTCTTTAACTCATGACACGAGAATAAACCACTTTAACACCTTGTAATAAAAATATGATAAAAAGCATTAAATGTACAAAAGGCATGAGCTATAGAATAATAAATATTTGATGATTCTAGGGAAAATTCTTTCCTTACTCTATTCTAATTCTATTTTCTTACTCTAAAATAACTGCTAATTATGCTACACAATCCTGGATGATAAAAATTTCCCTCAATCTTTTTATTATAATAGAATTACCATACTTATCCAGTTCAAAAACATTTCGTTATTCAATTTTGGTTCTTATATTTAGGTAAATCATTAACGTCTGTACCAAGAGTTAGAGAGAGTTGAAATAAAGTGCTGGCATGCCAATCTACCAATGGAAAAACATTTTCGATGGAATACTCTCATGATGTGAAGTCAGCAGATTAATTTTTTGCAAATACCATTAATTCCACACTCATCGAGATACAATGCAACCAGTCCTAAATTCCCTCGTCACCGCGGGAATTTTGTAAATGTTTGTAAATTTAAATATAAATGTTCAGTAAATTGTGCCAAAACCACCCTTCAAATCAGCGAAAGTATGTTATGTCCGTGAGCGTGATTAAATGAGTAAGATTTTAGGTTAATGAACATAATAATATTAAAGAAACATCAATATTTTCCTCTTTCCGTGCTCAAAAAGCGCTCCTGTGATATTTTTCATTATTATACATGGTTACGACAAGGTGGAATATATTTGAACTGTCTTCTCCTCTACAACGTAAAGTTGAACTCATAAGTAAAAAATACGAAAAGGTTTTTTCTCTCACCAACATTCTTGAAGAAACGGGCTGGCGCTAATGGACAGCAATATAATTTTATGTGAGTCCGTTAAGCGAAGCTGCTTGAAATAGATCGAGGTCACCTAACCGGACGATCATGACGAGATCTTGTTCCAGCTCCATTTTTTGACCCCATAGGTTGTTTCAGTTTTCAACTTGTCTCCTCGAAGTCAGTCAGAATCGTATGTGTCTGGCAATCCAGGTCTCACAATCACCACGCTATGCATGCAGGTAATGATACACAGCGACCCAGTTAAAGGTTCAAGTCTAACCTGTTGCTGCAATCCAGGTCTGGAGACTCCCTATTACATCACGCAGATCCTTATTTATGGAATCAGAGTTCATTTATTGAGAGGTCCTAAAGGTTTTAATCTTGGGTAAACACAAAGCGATTGTGTGTTTTCTACGAGATTTTTTAATAATTTATACCATGGAACCGTGCCAGATCCAGAAAATTTCATCCGATGACTTGATGACATTTTGAGGTGCATTTTTGATGACCATCGCTTTTAGCTTCAGTAACCAGACGATTAGAAAGGCAGGCAAATCTCTGTTCACGGAGATTTTTCTTAGACTAATCGATGATTTAAAAAAAGAAACTCGTCCTAATTTCAAAAATTTTGCACGGCGATAGGATGAGTTAATACTACAATTTATTTTTAAAGGAATTAGTCTTGTTTCTTGAGTTTCGGGCATATTTTATCATCCAGTTGGAGAACGCAAAACCCCAACAAGGTTTTACTCAGGCCATCGGCGAATTTTTTGTAATTGCAAAATTATTGTCGGATATTGAATTGCGTGGAAGAAGGAAAAATAACTATATAGCCTTCAGATTATGATCAACTGTAGTTACATAAGGCTTTGATTATTGTACATGATACCATAACAGATCAGAAAACGGTAATTACGTACATCAATCTTATATAATGGATGAATTTACTGTTGATATTATTCGTAGTTAATATTTCTTAGCGCGGTGAGTAAATTATAGTCATGATCTGAATTCCAGGTATCGGCCATTTTGTGAGGTATCATTAAATAAATGTTCCATTGAAACTGCGTTGATGCAGCTTATGCATCGTAACCTACAGAGAACAAATTAAAGCATGGGGTTGCAAGGCATTTATTTCTATCACAATTTCGTTTACTAATCATGTATTAACTCTCAGTATTCCCGTCGATGCTCATGAAACGTAAGAATGTGAAACAATTTGCGACCTCGTAGGCATTTCGATCACTTTACAGATGCAACAGCCCCTTAATGTTTGAAAGGCTTTGTCTTGCATTCATGAATTTAATGTGGTCAAACACTAAGAAAAATATGTGGGTCATATTGTTAGAATAATGATACATTTCCTTACCACAGCACGAGCAAAGAGAGGACGTTGCTGTGAAGCGCTCTCAGTCGGGCCATCTGGGTCAGGATACAGACACAAAAGCAAAAAGTGCATTGCTATTTGAACAAAATTTCATACATTTTTCTGAGTGTAGTATCTCTCCCGTAATCCCGCCTTGAAAGTTAAACTTCCAATAAATTTTCTATAAAATAACTCTGAGTATAACTATAAAATACGATATCAAAAAACAAATGAAATGAGGCAGTCAGAGAATGATCTGAAGCATTCATAATACACGCATTGGACAGTCCAAAGCTCTGAATGAAATTACGAATAAATTGAAGTATTAATTTTTTGCATTTTACTTTAACTAAATTAATGATTTAAATGAGGAATATCCGAAAGAGGGAAATCAAATTCAAGCTTTAGTTCGCAAGTAAAAATTGATTTCATATACTATTGTACACACTCATGTTACTTCCAACTGCAGAAGGTTCGAATATATTCATTACAATATTAATTTACATCTAATGTTCCTTAAACAACATTCCTTAGGCGTTATTACATGAGGCCCTCTTCTTTGAAATATTATAAGCAAAGGGCTAAATGAGGGTAGTTGAGTGTCGTAGAAAAAATATCCTGATCGACTCATGCTAAAAGTATAAAAAAATCTGTCTTGAGAGTGCAGACTGATTGACTAGGGAGAAGTTCCGAGCTACAGAAATTTCGTTCACACTCGAGGATCATAATACCTTGAATCCGTCTGACAGGTACATACGTCTGGCAAATAAATACGTCTTGCTGGTACATACGTCTGGAAAACCAAATACGTATGGCAGGTACATACGTCTGGCAAATACATACGTCTTGCTGGTACATACGTCTGGAAAACCAAATACGTATGGCAGGTACATACGTCTGGCAAGCACATACGTCTGGCAGGTACATACGTCTGGCTGGTACATACGTCTGGCTGGTACATACGTATAGCAGGTACATATGTCTGACGGGTACATACGTCTGGCTGGTACATACGTCTGGCAGGTACATACGTCTGGCAGGTACATACGTCTGGCAGGTACATACGTCTGGCTGGTACATACGTCTGGCTGGTACATACGTATGGCAGGTACATATGTCTGACAGGTACATACGTCTGGCAGGTACATACGTCTGGCAGGTACATACGTCTGGCAGGTACATACGTCTGGCAGGTACATACGTCTGGCAGGTACATACGTCCGGCAGGTACATACAACCCAAAAACATGAAGATGCAACCAATGAAATCGTGACCAATCGCCTACAGCCATCGCATGTTTTCGATGCCATTCAAGTCATATAACAAGACTTACAGAGCCGAAGTCAATGCTGCAAACAATTAACATTTTCTCCATTTTGTTGTTCAATTAAACTAATAAGTGAATGTACGAGGCTCTATGTGAATTGTGCCAGTAGTTGAGAGGATAACGTAAGCTCTGAATGTATTCATTGAAACGAATGACGTTCATAAGCTCGTATTTTCTTCATTCTTTGTTTCTTTTTGTACTGAAGCTTCACCGGCTGCTGATGACGATGATGTTATAGGTGCTAGCGGAGCGGCTGTTGGTGATGGCCGTGGTGCTGTTGCCGCGGCAGCTGCACTTTTCTCTCTGTGATCCCGCGTGTTATTTAGTAACTTTCTTCGAGGACCAAGAGGGAGACCAAGTTCTTTGAGATCGTCCTCGGTGAGTAGCTTCAGAGACTCGAGGTCGACGTGGTTCTGAGTGAAGATATTCATGTACTGCGCGAGTCCCAACCCCGCGAGGTAGAAGAAGAGTGGCGAGGCCTCCGACTCGTCGTCGCTGGGCAGGTCCTGAGCATAAGTTTTAAAATTTGATGAATAAATTAGGAATTTACTTCGTTTTTTTAGCATATTTTCGAGGGTAGACGGAAAAGTGGCGATTAACGTCGCTGAAGATTGCATAAGAAGAAAATTTGCAAATAAATCAATTATAATTAACGAATTACAGCGCTTATGTTTATTGTTATGATTCACATTGTTGTACAAAAGACAATAATTACACAGGTGCACATTAATACGCAGTCTAAAAAATAATATTTATGCCGAATATTTATTCAAAATATTAGATAAATTTTTTTTGACGAATTACAGAAAGACCCAAAATCATCAGATGACATTCCTACGAGAATTTATCGTAGCGCCCAGTGCTAACCTCTTCCTCGAAGGGGCTACTGGAATCATGGAGTGACCCTGCACTCCCCAGACCATCCCTGCCAGCTCTCTTCTGGGGACGAGATCCACTCTCTTCCTCCTCATCCTCGTCGTCCTCCTCGTCGAACTGCCCAACGCCTGGGACGATGCTGCCAAGTCCACTAAATGTCCCAGTTAAGGTATTCCTGAAATAGAAGAAGGTAAGGACCGTAAAGCCTTCAGGTTCCGAGGTCAGTTGTTAAGTGAATACAAAATGGACCAAATAATTTATGAAACTATGCGGAAAAAGCAGAAATTGGGTGAGTGCTAACATGATTGAAAATTTTATATACACTTTTGATCACTTTATAGTTTTCGTATTATTGATAAAAGTAACGACATTTGTACGAGCTGTTACTACTAAAATTTTCAATGCAATTTAGAACAAACTCGTATAAGTTGAATTACGTTGAAAATGTAGAAACAATTTCAAGCCAAAGGCCATTACAATAGATTCCCAATAGACCTCTAACCCAAACATCTCACCTGAAAGCCACTGAGCCAAAGCCCGGCCTGTCGAAGATGGAGCCCTTGGGTTTGAGGGCCACAACGTCACCGAAGTCTGGCATGGACTGGGACTGGTGACGCAGGCCGTCGGTCGAGTCGCTCATACGACGTTCTTGGCCGTTGAATACGTCACTTATCTTCGCGTGTCTGCCACCTGCATGATTAATCCGACTCAAAATGGATTATATTATTCAAGTCAGTGATACTTTACACATTTTACTAAATGCGCTCCTCAATCAATAATGAAGCATGCTAAACAAAGCTCAAGTAACGAGGTAAGACATTCTTATTAAAATATTAGGTGAATATTCCGGAAATGTGTTGTTATTAATACGACAAAAATGTGTCAAGTGATGTACACAGCCTTTCAAAACATAGAACTGGAACAGTCACTTATGATAACTCTGAAAGATACAATATAATTTTGAAAGTCCCTTAATTTTTGTCCTAAATTCGGCTTTCACTTGAAACCATGGATAAATGATACACTCGGACAAACCTTATATTCAAAAACTTGGAAAAATAAGCAGCTAATGCAGAGTAAACGAAGTGATAGGGAAGCTATGTTTAACTTAAAAACGCCCAAGATTATAGAGGAAATTGTCAGGATCAAGTTTTTCCAATAAGACTCCACAAGACATATACGGGGAAGTGACATGCGTGTGTTATTGCCTAAATTGCGACCTCAAATTTGCATACATTCTTTGTTTAAAAAACTATTTTGTTCAGAGAGACAATATGAACAGTGTTACTGGAAGAGGTTGAAGACGGAGCCTAGATGACCATGTTAAATTATCGAGTTTTTCATTCTAATTTGATTCTGTGAAGATAAAGTATGTGGCCTCGTCTAACCCGCTTCTGCGGAGGCGCTGATGAGAGCGTCTGGCACGAGGATGATCTCAGAGTCACGCCGCAGCCCCGTCAGATGTCGTACGGAGTTGCTTCCTGAGCTGCCTTCTTCCCGAACCTGCAGCAAATATAACCGGCATCAGCGACGACAAAATGATGAAATAACGTTACAACTTGCTAAGCAATTTAAGTAAACTAATGTCCTATTTATTGAACACTGCATGATCATTGTTTTAGGCCACATATGATATGCACTAAATATTATGTATTGAAAAGTAGAGCAAGAGAGTGAGAAGAAGTGTATCACGTACGTATGTAGTGGATTGATTAGCGGAAATTAATATCCTGATATCCTCTTAAAAACATTATTGCAGCAGCTCTGACAGTTGAGAAAGTATTACAAAATATGCGATCCGAAGAATAGAGATATTTCAAAATGCAACAATACAAAAAAATATATAACTCAGTACTCAATGCAGTGAGTGACAGAGAGCGCATTTTCTCGTCGACGAAAACTTGAGGTCACGGACGGACGGACAGACGGACGGACGGACAGACAGACAGACGGACATGGCGAGCACAATAGTGCATTTTTTCCATAAATGAGAAAATGCGTTAATAAGGGAAAACAAAAATGTTACCCACTGTTTTTGCATTAATGTCTATAAAACGACAAAATAAATTGATATAAGGTTGAAATCGAAATCGCTCGAGATCTCTACCTTGAATTCGCCATCTCTTGTAATTCTACTGCTGTTAGTCTCCTGAAGGAGTTTCTTGTTGAATATTTTCTTCTGGATGCTGGTTGCCGTCTTCTTGGAGGACGCGCTGGTTGTGAGGTCGGAGAATGTGGGCGAGGGCGCGTAGCCAGGCGCGCTGCTGCCCGTATGGAGCTGCGTCGAGTCTCGCCTGGGTGGCTTGCTGAGGAGTCCAATGGAACCTCGCGAGATCGTCGCCATGAAACTTTTCCGGCGCGGCTCATCTGAGTGAAATGGTGTGAATATCATGCACTTACAGGAAAAAACTTTAATTTAAGAAGAGAGTTTGGGACTTGGGAGAAATTAGAAGTGCCGAACGTTACCCGAAACCAAAAAGAGCATAAATGTAACATAAAAATTTCAACGTTCAGAAACAATTTCTTAACAAGCCTCTATTTTTTCGCCTGCCGATGTGATTTTACGTCTAAGTAAATATTTACCGAGGGCCGTAACATTTTGAATTACTAGAAGTACATGGCAAAAATAAATTTTCTTGTGGAATTACTTTGATTGATAATGTTTGAAATTTATGGGATAGAATAGTTCATAGCCTCAACTTTCCAAGCCTTGATGAAAGGTTAACAAACCTGCTGCCTTCTCTGCCTTCTCCAGCATTTCTCGTTCCTTGTCTAGCTTTTGTTGCTCGATTTCCCTTGCTTTGTCCAGCTGCTTCTGCAGCTTCTCTGACTTCTGAAGTCTCACTTCCACTTCTTTCTCAGCCTTTTCTTTTAATTTTTTCACTTTCTGTAGGAAGTATACATTTCATAATATTTATAATCATTAAATGACAACTTCAAGAACTGAAACATAACATAAGTGAGTTTAATTTGAAATTTTATTTTAAGAACGAAAAAAAATCATTGCGTCACGACCATTGAAATATGTCAGCAATTAAATGAAATAATTGACGAAATAAAATATAAAAATATTATAGGTTTGTATTTTACTACATTCGAAAGAACAGGGCTTTACACAAAGCTAAACAAAAAACCTAAATCTAGAACTACTTACGATACGTAGATTCTAAAAAGTTATGAGATGCAAAGCCCATCAGGAGAAGAATGAATTCCCTCTCCAATAATAAATGGGAGAAGGAATCGGCTGCTCACATTTCTATCTACCAAGAACATCCCCATAGGACTTTTTGTACTGTAGTGACTTCATAAAATTTTTAACCCTCAAAAGCTTTCCCTAAATTTAATTTTTTAGAGTTAAGATTCAAAATTTAAAGTCTAACACTAAAAAATATAACTCAGTACTCACTGCAGTGAGTGACAGAGAGCGCATTTTCTCGTCGACGAAAACTTGAGGTCACGGACGGACGGACAGACGGACATGGCGAGCACAATAGTGCATTTTTTCCATAAATGAAAAAATGCGCTAAAAATGTGAATTTACCGACTACGAAATTTTAATTTTCTGACTCGGAAATTCAAATTTTTCAATTCGGAAATTTGAGTGTAGGACTTGGAATTTAAAGACTCACATTTGGGTCTTGAGATTAACTTTATGACTCACATTTGGGTCTTTGGATTGTTGTTTGGCAGAAGCGGAGTCGAGGAAGCGTAGCACTTCCTGCCTGTTGCCGATGGCGGCCAAATCTTTGGGGCTGTGGTATTGGTTGTCCAGGGCGTAGATGTTCGCCCCGAAGTTGACGAGGAAAGTGACGCAAGGAACGTGGCCTTTGGCAGCCGCGCAGTGGAGTGACGTGTTGCCGAAATTGTCGCATTTGTCGGGATCACCTCTGAGGGCAATGCAAGTCTTTAGTAATTTATATAAAAATTATTATTTTGACTGATTATGTGATAAAAGATAAATATCTTTCTAAAGCTAGACTGGTATAAATATATTTAGAATTGAGGATAAAGGGGGCATATAGGCAGTTGTTTTAATTTGATGATTATACAGAAAAATACTAAACATGAAGATTACTAATATTAACCCTATAATACTATTACTAGTATTAAGCCAAGCTTTGAGGAATAACGATCATAGGTTAGGCAAATGTAAAATTTTTCTACTTCAACGAATATAACTGACAGGGAATCATAAGCACCTGCATGTGCTCCGCGCAAACCTCGATTGGAGCCACCGCACCCACACTCCCTTCAATAAATAATGGGTGGAGCGTGTAGGTATCGAGTCGACCGTATTGATTTTAGCCAGCGGCAACATGGACAGGTAACAATCAATAATTCCAGGACATGGAACCGAACGCATGGGGATCGTGTGTGGACAGGAAGTCACATAGCGGCGATCGGCTTATAATAGCGGTAGCAATTGTATCGTTCATTGGCAAAATTGTTCGAATTAAGTTTATTTGTACGCAACCTTAATTCAGGAATTTTTAATGGTAATTGACTTGTTGACTTGTTCATCCCATGATTGCAATACTTGACATGCCGTTTACTCATCCCATGATTGCAATACTTGACATGCCGTTTATTCATCCCATGGTTGCGATACTTGACATGCCATTTGTTCATCCCATGATTGCAATACTTGACATGCCGTTTATTCATTCCATGGTTGCGATAATTGACATGCCATTTGTTCATCCCATGGTTGCAATACTTGACATGCCATTTGTTCATGCCAAGTTTGCGGCAGTTATCATGGCCGTGACCTATCCCATCCGTTGAGCGAGGATGCGGACGGCTCGACTACCCGTCCGGAAGTTCATTGTTCGCGCTCTAGGAAGCGCCGCACAATAGTTAACATTTGCCGGAACAGTAACAACAGGGTTATCGACATTGCATTATGACGCTCGTAAATGGTGATTCCGAAGTGTCATTTGCTTCTTCCGTAACTTTGATTAACAGTCATCTTAGCATAAGTTCGAATCTTAATTTCTGGAAAAATGCACTCTCTGAAAGTCTTTGGTATTCAATAAATCGCGAATAACTAGAAATTGAAATATGTAAACATTATTATTGTTTTGAATCAACATTCCCTTTTACAACTTTATTTTCATTACTGATTTAATTATCAATCCAAAAATTTAACTATTTTTTGTCCTTCCACAAACTCTACCTCGCTCGCCAATCGTAGAATCAGTACAAGTACGAAGACAAATTCGTCCTCTATGCGATTTATCAGCGGTAGTCAGTTGACTAGTAGATTATTTAGCTATGAAATTAACCGAGTTGACAAAATAATAATATTGAGGAGGCCATGGCCATGCAGGTCTCAGGTGAAGTTTAGGGACGCGTGAAATTCCTGTGAGCGCTCACTCACAACCGAGATAAGGTGCACGCGCCAGCGAGCTCAACCATAGCGGTGTAGATTATGTTCTACTGGTAGAGAGTAGTACATATATGAAACAAAATGATTCATTTGTCAAATATCTTTCATCGGAAAATATTGATAGGTACAGTACAAGGTGATGGACATCTATTCAATAATCAGCTTTTAAATAAGATTATGTTGCATGATGACTAGCGGGAAAGTATAGTGAGTACTCCAGGAGAGCCCGAACAGGAGGAACAACTACGGTGGCAAACGGTACGGCGCGTAAAAAATAAACAACGACTGGATCACGTGCCTCTCCAACGGAACTTCGAACACCGACAGGAGCGAGCCGCGGTAAACGTACACTCCTCCAGCAACAAATGGATCCAGCATTTCAAGTATCAATATCTATAATTAATTCAGTGTCTTGTGTTAGGCTTTTGCATTGATGAATCGAAGAAACGTTTGGCCATCATCTTCAACTTTGTTGACAATAAAAACAGTATATTCTTGTTCGAGACACTTGAAAGAATAAAATGATTTTTTCCTATTCTCGTATTTTTCGCGTTCGAAAATTTCTTGTAATTTTTTGATTATCTAATAGATTTTTAAAAACTACTGAAGCCAAATGCGATTATCATTTAGTTCCAAATTCCTTAAAGTATAAATCAAGCGAATAATTTTCCTTAACTTATCATGACGGATGAACTGAAAAATATTTCATTTTGTGGATAAGTTATCAGCAAATCAACGGATTTTTCATGGAATATTTTGTTGCAATAATAAGCCACACTTTCTATTCAGGATTAGTTTCGAAGTGTAACTAAGTTTCATGGGCACCTTAGCGGAATAATGAAATGCGAGAGCCAGGCCGGCGCATGGCTAAGCAGCGACCCCCCCCCCTCACCTCCTATATTAGAAAGCTAACACCAGAGATGAATCTCTCTAAAGAATGCACCGTGGCTCGAATCTAATTTGTTGAAATGAAAAGTTTGTAACAGAAATAACACATTTCCAAGTTTCCTGAACACTTTTCAAGTCTTAATACTCTCCTATAACAACAAACAAATACCTTTATGTTATTAATTCATAGCCTAGAAAGCATAATGTGATAACTGTTGTGTGAGGCGCCCACGTTCTGCTGACGATGAGTCCGGATTACGTACCCTTGTTTTATTCGTGTTAAAGAACCGAACTTTTTGCTGACGAAGAGGAAAGTACTGAACTCAAGATGCATCGAAGGCACCTGCTTCCTGTTGACTACTAGTCTAAGGTACGTGCCCTCTATTTAAGACGTGTTGAAGACACCTACTCTCTTTTGACTACTAGCCTGACACACGTGCCCTCTAGTTTGGACGGGCTGACGATAACCCGATAACACCTACCCTCTGCTGACGATAAGCATGATATACGTACCCTCTAGTTTGAAAGGGTTCAAGGCACCTACCCTCTGCTGACGATAAGCATGATATACGTACCCTCTAGTTTGCTGACGATAAGCATGAGGTACGTACCCTCTATTTTGGACGTGTTGTAGGCACCTACCCTCTGCTGACGATAAGCATGAGATACGTACCCTCTATTTTGGACGTGTTGTAGGCACCTACCCTCTGCTGACGATAAGCATGAGGTACGTACCCTCTATTTTGGACGTGTTGTAGGCACCTACCCTCTGCTGACGATAAGCATGATTAACGTACCCTCTAGTTTGGACGGGTTCAAGACACCTACCCTCTGCTGACGATAAGTCTGAGGGCTTCAAGATTTCCCTCGAAGGCCGCCCATGCCGTGGGCGTCATCCCGGCCTCGTCAGGCGCATTGCAGTCCCGCTTGGTGGCGTGTGATAGCTTCTTCAGGAAGCCATCCCTCGCGGCTCTGGTGAGAAACATTAAGTAAATAAAACTGATACAAATAAAACGTCCGTATTGTTTTTGCGTTACAAACAATGTGCTTAAATAGGACCACTATGAGCATATTATTTCAAAACAAGAAATGAGTTTCTTTTGCTCGATATCACTTATGGAAAAGGTGATCGGGCTTCAACATAGAGACATGCTTTTTTACTAATGCGAAACATTGGGCTCCTAGAATTAACATGCAGACAAAAAATTTAAGTGACTTTTTGATTGGAATAACTATTAAGTCATAAACATAATTGAATTACCTCGTCAGATAAATCTATCAGTATGGTGAATGCGTGTTAACATGGAACCCTATCTCAAATAGCGTGGTTTTTGCAGAATTATTCAACATATCGACGAATGTTAGAATAAACTACGAGTAGGTTGCACACATTATTTAATTCTCATTCAATTCATGCTATGCTAATTCACCGTAATTTCAAGCGTGCACCATAAGTAAATTTCCTCCAATTTTATTGGAAAACTTTCAGGGGCTAGCTTCAGAATCACTTCAGAACTGCCACGATGCAAACAAAATCAATAAAGCGTTAAATTTTACAAGACAGAGATTGAAATGAAAAATTAAACTCAGTTCTCACTGCAGTGAGTGACAGAGAGCGCATTTTCTCGTCGACGAAAACGTGAAGTCACGTATGGACAGACAGACGGACGGACAGACGGACATGGCGAGCACAATAGTGTTTTTTTTTTCATAAATGAGAAAATGCGCTAAAAAATCGCACATGCGGGCTAAGCGACCAAAAAACGTATTGCTTAATAATTACAAAAGAATGACATCGATAAACTTTGGTGAGACAATTTTTCTATTAAAAAAGAAGAACGTGCTCCAAATCTTGAAATCCGTCGCCGAACACCGTGCCAGGGTTTTCGTTCTGGAATTTTGCTGGTCCACCCTCCCAATTCATTTTTGCACCTTCACGCTCAACAATTCCTGTCTTAACTGTTCGTGTCTAACAATTCGTGTCTAAGCGAAAGATTACTAGAATTTGAAACAAGAACCAACACCAGGGGCCACGGCTATAAACTAAAAAAACTGCGCTGCAACTTCCCCACGCGCCAACATTTCTTCTCGCTTCGAATCACCGACATGCATACATGGAACAGCTTCACCGATGACATCGTTGGCGCTCCAAGTATGAACGCGTTCAAGAACAGACTAGATAAAGCTATGGAAAAATACATGTTCAGACTTGAAATGCCTAGCTCCTTATCGAACCCGGTGGAAGTCTAGTAGCTACTTCAAACTATCGTCTCTCGGACAATTCTCCGGACGGACTTGCGGTCGGTCTCCAGGATTCAGCGAACATAAAATATCTCCCAAACTAATGAAAGCAGCTTGATGAAACTACGTACATGCGTTCACTAAGACGTAAAAGTCATGTCAGGTCGGGATTATTTTTTCGATCTCACCTTCGTTTCTTTTTCGGTCATAAGGGCCGAAATTCGCCGTAGATATAAAATAGTTTCTAAGCTACTGAAAAAATTCCAACGTAACCTTGAATTTACATTCCTAATCACCTAACAGTGATGTTTAGGTCGTGCAAATTTTATTCAAATTAAGGCTTTATTCGCGAGTTATTTGGCCATCCGAGGAGCAAACACTATTTTTGTAGCTGATTGTCTAACTTCCAGTGAACAAGAAATATCTTCCAAACTAATGAACGCAGCTCGATTAAACTTTGCTCATGCATTCATAAGAAGCTATCGGTGATCTTTAGATCGGGATACTTTTTTTCGATTTCGGCTTCGTTTATTGCCACCTTAACATCACCGCGAGGTCCCGATGAACACATGTGCAAAGTTTCATCATGTTTAGTTCATTAGTTTGGCAGATATTTCATGTTCGCTGAAACTTGGAGCCTGGCCGCAAGTCCGTCCGTTAGAGTGTGCAAGAGGTGAAATTAGGCCGGCACATCTACGGATGATCTATACATTTTATGTAAGATATGAAACTTACTGAAAATTTTTAGTTCAGTTTCTGTACAAATTCTATAAACTGATATAATGTCAATTGAATGTTTCCAAACATATTTTCTTCCTTCCCTTATTCAAATTATTTCCTTATATATATATTTCCTTATTCAATTTATTCATAAATAACGAACCAGATTCCAGATCCTAATATCAATATTTCTTTATAAATTATTGTGAGTTTGATCCTCTGAATGGAGTATCAATGAAAGGTGTTGAAACTATCATTACAGAGTAGCTCCATATTCTCGTGTTAAATACGGAATAAATACGGAAAGAATTTTTTGTGTGCATTTAGAATGGAACGTGAGCTTCACCACATGGGCTTAAAGCATTACATTAGAGAGAAGGATTGCGGTCGAGGACGTGACAGCCAGAGCTACTGCAGTTGTCAACATCGTGTTTACGATGCGACCTCACGAACATGTGTGCGCTTTGCGGATGTTTTTCTACATCAGCCGCACTTTTCTATATAAAGTTTGTCCGAAAGACGCAAACCCAGGATTAGTAAATCAGCAAGTGGAGAACGTTATACTTTAAGATCGGTTTTAGATGGTAATGAGTAGTCTAATAATAATTTATCCAAGTTTAAAACTTAGGCGAAAGAATAATTCATTTTTATCTCAAAATAATTCCAATAAGTTATTTTACACACTATCTTCATTGTTGTTTAGATGAAATGCTCAAGCAAAGGATGCCATGTATGTAGCAAATTATGAAGCAAACGTTGAATGCAGCAGCACGAGTCTATATTTCATCAAAAGTATCTGCAGATTTCTGATTAAATGTCTCTGCGCAATGTCAATGAGCGCGGCGGTATACCTTAATTCTCCATTGTCCAATTTAAAAGTCATTTATTATTATAAATGCGGTTAAAAATGCATGAAAAAGTTCAACAACTGAACCAAGTAATCTTTTATATGATTTTGAAAACTTTATGATCCCAGGTTTAGTGACGCGAACCTCCCACAGTCGAGACCAAATGCCGCGTCATTGAGGGAACCACAGTCAACAAACGTTATAGATCGTTAAATAATGGTGCAATATCCGCAATATTCCTTGACTATCATGATTCTTGCTTGCAAACACTTGCGAAAACTCTTTCAGATTTTGCGATAAGAGGAATGTTCATCACAGGGTAAGGCCTATTAGTCCATAAAGGGAGCACCGTACTTAATGCGCAAGACATCGGATTCATATGATAAACGTTTGACATTCCCAATGTTCGTTGACGAACTGCGTTGAAAATTACATCTTATAGCCCTGGAAAGGATTGTGATGGAAAAGAAGAGCTGCACTTGCATGAATTATAGAGGTGATGAGCCCCAACAGTTCGGAGAAGTGAGGTCTTACATGAGAGCTTCTCACGACCTATGCTTGCGTCAAAAGGGCCAGGGCACCGCGGCTCTCACGGGCGCTTCCGTTTCGAGATTAACGAGCAGGTAAAACGTCAACGCAAACGTGAATAGCTCACTCCAGCTACTCGGTGTAATAGCTCACTCCAGCTACTCGGTGTAATAGCTCACTCCAGCTACTCGGTGTAATAGCTCACTCCAGCCACTCGGTGTAATAGCTCACTCCAGCCACTCGTAAAATGAGGAAGAGAACTTTCAGACGCTGGAACGCGCAAGCCGCGTTAATTTCCTCGTTCTTCGTTTCACAGCATGAATGTCAGACAATGACTTTAATTCAGGGTAATAAGTGATGGGCCCGATTGATTTCTGAATTGGTCTTTTGGAATCACAAATAACATGAAATGCAAGGAAAAGTCTAGGTGGATCATACTTTTGCTTCAAAGTTCACACTGCAGTTTGACACTGACAATACAGTATCTGCCAGCGTTAACTAGTCTGATCACTGATCACCACAATGCTGGATGACAATGTTGAAACTGCAGCTTGACACTGGCTATTAAATTGTACTGTGTTACACAGGCGAGACCCGCAAATTGACTGTACACGTAACAAAATTGACCGAGCTTCCGGTCGCTAATGCATTGAACTAAGTGACGATTATATGGTGCTGCCAGGGCCAGGATTTTGTTAAAAAATCGCATTGAAACAGATAATACAGATTGTAATTGATAACATATTGTACTAGGAATCATGGCCGAGTTGTGAGCTCGTGAACGAGCAGTTGGAATAGTAATTGTTATTTCCTGGTTTCAAATGAGACTCTTCTTTCAAGATTGCATTAAAATGACAAAATATTTGACCATTTGAGTAGTTTTGTTTACATATGTCAAATGAACTTTGAATTATTTTCCACTTCGCACAGAACAAAATTACCAAATAACGAATAATAATTAAATGATAATGCAACCAAAAGGTGCTTAGGAGAGTTCTCTCTTCAAAACATCATTGATGGAAAAAAAATTACATCCTTGGTTATCAGTGAACGATCAATTCTGAATGAATCGGAAAAATATTATACAAAAAAGAACACTGGGACGGAAAAATATTCCACGAAAAAGATCACTGGGAGAATTAATTGAACAATTTTTGCAGTTCACTTAATAGGGCAGCATGTCTTGGTAATTATTGAATTTTACTGCAGAGAAAAAAATTCTCCGCAGGGCTTTATTTTCTAAGTATCAGACTTTCACGGGGAAAACGGAAAGCGCGCGCCAATTAAATTCACGACAAGGACGCGCGCGAGATTAACGGCGCGCACGACCTCCATGCGCCGCGCGTCACCGGTGCCGTGAAGCTCAGGCAGGCGAGCGTCACCGGTGATGTGAAGCTCAGGCAGGCGAGCGTCACCGGTGCTTGTCACGACTCTTGGTCTGATCGTTTATTTTGAAAGATAAATTTATTGTTTGCCTTTCTGATTATTCAATTGGCCATGGCAGAAAATTGAGGTCAACGAGCAATCGTTCGTAATAATATCATTAAATGGCATGCGTTCAAACGGAATTTTGAACTCCGTGAAGCATGTAACATATCAATAATTTTTCATGAATCCTATGAACTCAAATCAACTCTATTTTTGATGAGCTGTTCAATGAGAGAAACAGGTTCTATTTGAAGCATTGGTTAATAAACAGTTTCTGAAATGCTTCCAAGATCACACTACTGCTGCTAATTCACGCTAGCGACTTCTGATTGAACATATAACATTTCTAGCAGTATGCCCGCAGCAGTTCAGCGTATGTGTAGGATGCGTTGTCATGACGACCGAGCGCCCTCACCTGCCCTGGGCGCAGAGGCGGCAGGAAGCAGCGCGCTAGTCATCCTATAGACAAGCATTGCTTATATAGTGAGACCAAAAATTATTTATCATTGAGTAACATCATTCCGTGCATAAATTCCGAGAATTACAACCGATGTCAAACATATGTTGTACCTTGTATCCAACAAATTTTGTACCTTGCTCAAATCAAGTTTCAAATCTACGCTTTATTAAAAAGGTAATAATTTGTTACCTCGAATGTGCTTGTTGTATAGCGTCGTCGAATAGGATGTTATACATGTTGTATTTGAAACCTTATTACTTTCATTTTATTCCTGTTTTCGTGTGGTTCATTTAAAATATATTTTCGATCATTTATTTCGTTCTTTATTCTAATCACATTTCACTTTCTCATTATTCAAGAAGACCGACCATTATTGCACAACTTCAGGCATCCTCGAAGATGCAATTTTAACTGCATCAGCAACAGTCGCGTGACCTTAAGTCAGCCATTGCATCATAGTTTTTATATGAAACGCTAAACAATGGACGGGTGCGATGCGCTGCCATTAGACGCAGAGAAAATATTTGAAACTGTGGCTATTTTAAGGAAAGGTTGCTTATTTAGAAAGTTAAAATTGATGTAGTATCTGTCAAAAGATATTCTCGAGAATTGTATGATTACAACGTATTTTTTTATTTGCATGTATCAATTTTTTTACTGCATTGCTAAGTGCTCACCAGTCATGCCTGGGAAAATTACCCTAAGGAATTACAGTAGACGTCAAGATTAAATCAAGATTGTAGTTAATAAAATTACTTGGGCCACGAAAATTACCCTTAAATAGTAAAGCATACGATAATAGTTGCGATTTCACGATTAACAATTTCCTTAATTTCATTATGTGAAGGTCACGAAAACAGCGATTAAAGTATTTTATACTGGATGTGAGAGTTATGAAATTAAAATGCACAAAGCTTAGCATGATAGCTTATTAGTAGACGATGTAATTATGGAATTATGAACAAAGAATAAAAAAGATTTATATATTCAACATTTCGATTTCATATTTGATTCATCGTTAAACTGCAGGCTTTCATTACGTTAGTAGAGCATTCATGTTTTTAATTTATACTTTACGCTCGTATACTTACAGCTTATGCATTATTTTCATTAAATGAGTTCAGCCCGCAAGCTTGATTATAGCAAAATCACTTATACTTAATGAAAGGTTTCAAGGTTTCCAATCACGATTATGATTGAAGCAACTTGAATATAATTAATTAGAATATAAATGCCTCTTATCAGTGACACGAGAATATTCCCGCAGTTGTTATCGCAGTTTATAACAACTTCGACCGTAAATGACGGATGTGAGCGAGATTACAGAGCGCCCCTCATCGGCCGTCACAACCACGACGTCTTCACTGCGGAACACATGCAGGCTTCACGTGGCCTCATATCGAGGCTGGGTGCTGGAGCCTTAAATGATGTACGCTGTGTTACTTCGCGTAGTAGGATTAGTTTGCATTCTAATTTGTGCGTGGATCACCCAATAAAGTAATTGTGATTAGTCTTAAATAAAAAAAATTGAAAAAAAAATTAAATAAATCATGCTGTCAAAAGATGGGAAAAAGTAATACGATATAAAGATGCTGAAGATAAATATTCGCTAGAGTTATATTGAAAGAATGGGGACCACCACTGGTCCCCAATGGGGACCAGTGTTATAGAGTTATTGAAAGAATGGGGACCACCACTTCCCTGTATGTAATGGACCATCATGATTCCTGCCTTCCGGAACGTGGCCTTCAACACTTCAAGCCGTCCGTCTCTAGGCCGTGGGTCGAACCAGCCCTCGGTCGAACGGCCACTTGTCGAAGGACGATAAATTTTGAAACAGAACTATGCTATCTAAAACCTAACCTCAGATGCGGTGAACGTAAAATTACGTAATTTAACGATGCCCGGAAGTCAGATTCGATCCGCGGCCTGGTGGTGCACGGCAGGTTCTATGCGAGGCCGGAGGAAGACAAAGCCGAGTGGTTCACGGCTGATTGGTGGATGTCCGGAATGCTCCCAAAGAATGTGATGCAATAGTAGCCATATAAAATGAAAAGAGCAGAAAAACTTTGATACCACTTAACAAGTCACTACACAAGCAAAAAGAATAACGACGTAATTTCTCATTAAATATTTCATTAATAACTCTGCTACTCGTCGAGTATTGCAGCGCTGTACACTAGTCAGTCGCAGGCACTTTGTACGCGGATCATCCAATAAAGTAAATGTGATGAGTTTTATATAAAAAAGAATTGAAAACAATTCACTTGATTCATGCAGTCCATATATGAAAAAAAAATTAATACGATATTTAGACGCTGGAGATGAATAATCGCTAGAATCATATTGAAAGAATGTGATGCAATCGTAGCCAATTAAAATGAAAAGATCAGAGAAACTTTGATACCACCTAGAAGTCACTACACAACCAAAACAGTAACGACGTAATTACACATTGAATATCTAATTAATAACTCTTCTACTCATCAAGTATTGCAGCGCATTTCTGTCTGCTACTCGTTGAGTATTGCAGCGCATTTCTGTCTGCTACTCGTCGAGTATTGCAGCGCATTTCTGTCTGCTACTCGTCGAGTATTGCAGCGCATTTCTGTCTGCTACTCGTCGAGTAGTGCAGCGCATTTCTGTCTGCTACTCGTCGAGTATTGCAGCGCATTTCTGTACACCAGTCGCAGCGCAGGCTGCACACACCTGCCTGCCCCAGCACGCGATTACCACAGCAGCGCTGCACCGGCGGCCATGGCGCTCTGCTGGCCTGCGCTGCACATGTTCAGCTCTGCTATAAGTTCTCTCTCTCGCTCCAGTGGAGATGGTGGCAGACGACAGGTCAACAGTTGATATTATGCAGACAAAAAGGTTTACCGCTGACATTTTGTTACCAGGATGTCTGTGTAAGAAGTGAGCCACTGCACAAGCATTCAAATTTGAATTAACGCGAAGAAGCGAAAGTGTTGATGCAAGATTAGACTTATTGTTCTCAAGTTATGTTGGATTGAATTGTTTTTTCTGATATTCAGTTCCATAGCGAATAAATTAATTTACTGCATATCATAACATTTACTCATCTTGTTACTAATATAAATTTTAATGATTTCGTGAGCTTGGAAGGATAAGCTGTACAAGCTTTATAACGCTCACCGCAGCAAAAAGTGTTCACGTAACAATTAATTTCTTTATTGCATTAAGAAACACATCGAAGAGACATAAGTTCAGTTGTTTGCGTCCAATGTGTGTGAGTAAATTATATTGCGCGCAAGATTTTAATGAATGTTCAGTGCAGCGTTTTACGAAAATAACATCTGAGCCAACAATGATATTGATGTAGAACTTTATTTCAAGTTTCAGTGACCGCTCAGTTCAAAAATGTTAAGTACTTTATTGTTTCTAATGTCTAGTGCTTCTAATGTATTATTTTAGTGCAGAAAACAAAAAATCAACAACCCCATGTTGCAGGAACATTATATCATATCGTTCAATTAGAAGAGAGAAAATCAGCTGAGCCGTCTTATCTTATCGCTACAATCATGAGGCCGTTTATCGAATAGTCTTTGCCACATAGCTTGCATCTTTACAGCTATAATATTAACGCAATCATGTCATAAAAACGACAAAACGTGATATGTAATCGTATTTTAATATTGCACTGTTATGTGCAATTGTTGGAAACAACTTTAAACTCATGACAATATCGCAAAATTTTACCCACATAAGAAGCTTATTGAAATAGCAATGACATTCAAGCAACTTACGATTACTCGAAGATTCAGAGAAAGAAACTCACTTGTGAAATACATCCGACATCGTATCACAAAATCTCTGTTGCGATCATTTCAAAGATATAGTCAGAGATCCGTCAGTCTGCTGGTCAACACTTGTTACGCACACACCTCACCCTGAGGGAGCACACGACACACTGACGGTCATCGCACGAGGAACTGGTGAGTGGTGACGGTGTCTCATCGTCACCGCAACCCGCGTCCAACTCTGTGTATGCGTTTTACAGTTCTATTATTGAGGCTTCTGCCAATCTCAGATAAATTTCGATATCTTCATCAATTTACGCTTTAGCCGACACATCAGAGATGATTAACAGTGCGATGAAAGTGCAGTCAACTTTGTTTATAAGACATATATTATGTGTGACCAACATTGACCACGTATCAGGAGCATTTCTTCGTTAATAGCTATTCTAAGTTTAGTTTATAATGAAGTGATGTAACTGCTTTGAGCTCCTGTCAATAAATGCCAGTTTTTCGAACAATTTCAATTCAAAATGCGCCATGCTCTTTGGTTTACCATCATTTGTATGGTCAATACTCAATAAAGAGCCGCTTGAAAATGTATTACCTTCTAGCAACGCTTTCATTGCGGCAAGAAATTACCGCCTTGTATTCTCGTTTCGACCGATACGCGGTGCCGTCACAGTCCGCCGGGTCGCCTGCCGAAGACCACCACTGCCCTGCATGTAATGGACCATCATGATTCCTGCCTTCCGGAACGTAGCCTTCAACACTTCAAGCCGTCCGTATCTAGGCCGTGGGTCGAACCAGCCCTCGGTCGAACGGCCACTTGTTGAAGGACGATAAATTTTGGAACAGAACTATGCTATCTGAAACTTAACCTCAGATGCGGTGAACGTAAAATTACGTAATTTAACGATGCCCGGAAGTCAGATTCGATCCGCGGCCTGGTGGTCAAGGCCGGAAGAGGACATAGCCGAGTGGTGCAAGGCTGATTGTTGCAGGTCCGGAGAGATCCAAGGCGTTCGACTCAGGGCTTATTGGTGCACAAAATTGGTGGTGCACGGCTGCGCTCCCCAGTCCGCCAATACCCCACGTAAAGTAACGATCCTCGCATCACAACCGTCAATTATAATGAGCTTTAAAACATTACAGTTTACTCTACGTTGAAGCTAGGGTTTCAGCAAAACAATAAAAACAAAAACTAGCCTTAGAACATAACCCTGCGATGTGTTTCCACTTGCACTGCCTGGTGCCGAAGCTAAAAGTGAAACCAGAAATATTCGTCCGATTGAAGATTTTGTCTGCGGTAACTCAAAAGCTGGAGTGGGTTACCGCTGTAGGGCAGTTAGGCGATTTCATTGAATGTTATCAATTAAATTGCATTTTTAAAATAAATTCTAAACGAAAATTAAATCGTTTTGGAAATTTAACTTTTCTTTAAATTCCGAAGAGGTGAATAAGCCCGCAAAGAAATTATGTCCGTAATGTAAATAAAAAGGATGGATACGGCGATAGACTTTATTAGCAACAACAGTAGTAGAGCGCGCTGAAGTAGAGCAATATTACAGAGCGGGCGGAAGTAGAACAATCTACCAGAGCGCGCCAAAGTATAGCAATATACCAAGAATCTTGGCCCTTCGCTGCGATCTCATCGGACACTGCATGACTCACCATTCATAAAAATATAAATGCGTTCGAAAACAATAAATTCTAGCGTTCATTTGTATTTACTAAACTGCAGATGGAAAAGAAATTTAATGAAAGGTATTCATAAAGTGAAAGTTTGACAAACTAATTCGACTAGTGAAACCGACTAAGTGTATATTAGGAGGCAAGGACATTTTTTTCGGCCTCTTGAATCAATACAGAAAAATTGTTTCTACGAAACTAGGATTGAGCCATTGTAATCTAGAACTTTCATCAACAAGATGTACCATCTTAAAATGGCCATCATGATCCCGATTATGAGTTTGACATATCAACTGAATATGCAAACCGAACCAGACGAGCGTCATTTGAGTTTCCGTACAACAGTTCAGTTCCCAGGCAGATAAGGGCTCTCTCAGTGCAGGCGAAGGGCGTTAGATCAGAAAGCTACTAGTAACTAACATTAAAACTCAACTCTTTAATATTAAAAGTTAGTACGTACACTGCTCTACGCTGAGCTTCCAAGCTACGGGCACTGAGTGCGCTGTATGTACAAGATGGTTATGAAGGGTTAAAATATGCGACTTTTTGTGGCACACAGCAAAAGGAGATGAGATCACAAGGCGTACTGAACAATGCTTTTCTTATCAGAGAAAATTTGCACATAGAATTTACTGGCTTGCCCAGAAGCTCGTCTCAACATCGCATGCTTGCGAGCTCAGCAGCTCAAAGGCGAGAAGCACCTGGTGGTTTACCAACGACGATTTAAAATAATAGCACTTCAAATGTAATACAAAATAGCGTTACTAATACGTAGCTAATGTTACAAAAAATAGAAGCAATAGCAAGAACTATTTTAACAATGCAACTAAAATTCCTAGGGAGAAAAAATATTTCCGTTAATGCCATACGAAAGTGACAAGTATTAATATTAACACGTCAGTATATTCGAATCTGTTCATCAATGCCATTTTCTATCATCCAAATCCTTTCAACTGGTATATCGATTCAACTGAAACTTACGTTAAAATGATGAGAGAATTAAACAAGAACATTTTTTCCTCTTGCCGATGAATATATCATTAGGATGGTACATCAAAAATTAATTACGAGGACTTCAGTAAACGTCACTTGAACGATAGCACAGAAATTTAATTGTTGCGTAAAACCGAAGAACGAGCGATCGCTGCTAAGTCCAGCCACTTGTGCGACAGGAAGACCGACAACATAACGTCCACGCAATACTACATGTGTTTCAACCATCGTGGATTATCAGCGATCGAATGAGAATCATTCTTTAGCCAACCCTAGCACATAGGACATCATCACCGACCGATTCTCAGAGCTCAACTATAAGTCAGTGAACCATTTGCTACACATGATAATCTAGATATTTTACAAGCTATTAATGCAGTGCAGTTTGTGGCGATATCAATAAGGAAATTGAAAAATTCATTCAAAAATATTGATAGAATGAATCATACCATCTACCAATTTTGACGCGACTTAGTGCGGTCAGCTACCCTGAAGGTCCTACACTGTACAGATGGCACACGTTCATAATTAATGCCCTAATTAAACTATTTTATTCACATATGTAGAGAGGCTGCCTACAATTGGTTCTTCATAGAAATACAATAAATCATAGAGAAATTCTAGGTCAGTAAATAAGAAGTTCACATATTTTAGAACACTTTTAGGAAGGGTGTGTCGGAGGTCGTTCATGATTCAAACGTGAGAGATTTAATTGTGAAGAGTCGCACGTCAAGAATCGTAAACTGCTGGAAAAGAACTGGCAATATTCGCAAATTGTGATCCAATGCAAAAAGATGTTTTGAACAAATTGAAGATATTCATCAACAAACGAATGAGAAATACCTTGCTTGGGAGCAGTGGCCATCTGCAAGACAAAACCGACTTACACATGAAAGAAGGTCGGGCAAAATTGTTCGAATAATATTGAAATCAAGTTTGGAAATAAAATTTCAAGTTAATTTTAAAAGATAGTTGAGCAGTCCAACTGATAAGTTCGCGTATCGAATACTAATCTTCATTTGACAATTAGAATAGAAAAATATGAGATAGAACGAACAAATAATGAAACTCTACAAATTTGCAGACACAAAAAAAGTAAACAAGTTAATATCAAAGAATTTGAGTTCGAAGTTAAAATGTATTGCGTAGAATTTTAAAGTAAAAAATAGCGATACCATAATCGAGTTCAGTAGTACGGGTAATAAGGGCTAATATAAAATCTGACCACAATTTCAGTGCCAAATACCTAGTGTTGGTTGTTCAGATAAAGTGTATCTGATGACTGCTGGACTAATGACGTAAGACGACCAATGACGTAAAGCGACCAGTATTTACGAGAGAGCATCTTCAAGAAGAAACAGGCCATAGTATCCTGGCGCAATACTTACAAGAGTAATAAATGAAAAGACAGTAGCGCATTAGCTACACCCACACCTACATCCCGATACAGGGCAGCAAGGAAAACTACGGTGTTTAGATCGCGCGTCTCAGGGTGTTAGTTCAAAAACTTAAGATAAATACGACTATTGACATAACGCATGTTTAAGTTAACTGTAATAACACGTACTAAAATACGGCTAATTAACAAGAAACATGAGAAGAACTGAAGTGATTCTGAATCTGGTCATCCGAAAAATATATCAAGTTTCAAGGCCAGAGAGTTACTACGCCCAGCACGGATTTTGAAGTGGGAGGAAAACTGCAAAAAACGTAACGTTTCATTTAAAGCGATATTGGTGCTGCCGAATAAAAATTCAAATACATTTAAATTACGGAAAAATCCAGAGATTAAAATTCGAATTTTTAATGATCACACTGGACCTGGAATATTTCTAAGAAAACGCATTAACCACGGAACATAAACACGAATATGTATTGATTATCTCGAAAATTAATAATTATTATACATGTTTTAGCCCGATATTATTCATGGCAACAGATATTCATAGCGCACTACAGTCTATATGAAAGATAAATTTTAATAAATCAAATAAAGAACAATCGGATAACATTGTTATATCCTTTCTCTTGCGCACCATCCTCCGCCAGCCAAACTTGGTGGGAAGATAGAAGACTTATTAAGTCAGCTTCTTACAAATGCTCATAAAGGAAAGGTTATTGGGACGCCTGTCAACGTCAAGATGCATGGCAGCACAGATTTTTTCCATTACTTTCGAACTTCTTTACAGGCTGTGAGAAAAAAACTTGTAATTTCTTTACTGCTTATCACCAAACAAGCACTATTGCACACAAATATGAAGACATATATTTTCTCTTGTATGAGATGTAACATTACTTTTCAAACATCAGGCCGATGTAAAAGTATAAGTTGACTAAAAATATACGTCAAACTAAAATCTTTGAGACTTTCAACGTGAGACAGAGAAAATTACTAATTTTTAGGTAAATGAATAAAAATGAGAAATGAATAGGTACACAACAATTTTCACATTGTTTGTCGAAGTAGTTACAGAAAGAGATGTTGAAATAAAACTATTATTCATCAGAAAAAAAAAAGATTTAAAGTTATTCAGACAGTACAAAAACTTAACGCATGCGGCAATAGAAACGATGAATTGTAGAATAACTTCAAAATACCATTTAAATTATAAAAAACGAGGCTCACAATGAGAAATTATAGCGCCTCCAGAAAAACTTGCACGACAAAAATAACTTCCACTGATGCCTGAATGCCATGGAACAATTCCCGTCATAAATGTAACGTCAGGCCACAAGTTGTGCTTTGTCAAACACGGCAAATGGACCGAGAAATCGAGAGTAAATAAAGATATGACAAATCTGAACATAGTGATGTATAAATGGCAACATTCGAGAAATAAGCCAAAAAATGAAGCAATAGCATAGGCATTACCCAATCTAAGTAAACTAACACAAGGCGCCTCAAGACGTAAAGAAATACGGGTTGCATAAAGACACAGCTGCAGCACAATACTTCAACAAATATGCATAAGATTACCCAGGATAAAATCCATTTCAATTTTGCACACTTAAAGCTGAAAAAATTCATTCCTTTGGATCCCACTTTCAATAAATTAGATGTCCCTATCTTTGGCATGAGAAAGATATTCTTTACGACCAAAAAATAAGTGAGCTCACTAATAATTCCTCGAGAATATTCACTGTGAGAAAAATAATCTTCCAAACTATAATTGGTCGCGAGGAAATCACGGCGTGTAAAAAATGCCCTCTATAAGTAGCATAATAGCGCAGGATGACTTAAATTAAGAGATGTTAGAAACGCAAAGCACTATTTGTTAGTATCGAGAACTGAAGATTAAGAACAAAAAATTCTCGAAAGAGGATAGCTGGCTAGCAGCAGGAGGCCGAGCTCAGTTGTCGTGCATGTTGATGGCGCGAGCGGTGACATCAGCAGAGCATGCGTCTGGCACCAGCGCTTGTCTGTTGTACAGCACGCCGCTGCCCTCAGCCTTCACTTCAAACGGAGGGCGGACATCGTCCTGGCAAGCAGGTTTGGAGCCGTCAATCCATTGCCCTCCGAGGTTCTGTACGTCTTCGTTCTTGAACAAGGGAGGAGCATAGCCAGTAAATGCATTACTTAGAGCGCTTTCTGTTCTTGCCAACATTGGAGCACGGAAAATAGAGCCTGGCGATATTGTAGCAGACTCTCTCGAAGGAACAGACGCGGCATCACTATGTACAGTTTTGTAATGTTTGGTAAGCCCCATTCTCTGGGCAGCTTTATAGCTGCATTTGTCACATTGGTAAGGCTTGTCACCAGTGTGCTTCCTGCGATGCATCACAAGGTTTCCTTTGTGCTTACTGCGATAATCACACAGTTCACATGCATACGGCTTCTCGCCGCTGTGGCCCCGCATGTGTATTTTCAGAGAGCCGCTCTGAGTACATCTAAACTCGCACACAGGACATGCATAAGGCTTTTCTCCGGTATGCACTCGTAAATGTAATTTCAAATTTCCCTTGAAGTGCGTGCGGTAGGGGCAGTGGGGGCAGCCGTGGCGTTTCTCGGTGCTGTGTCGGCGCATGTGGACTCTTAGAGCGCCGCGCTGATAAGACTTGTAGTCGCACTGAGGGCATGCCAATAACGATCTCTCCGAGTGGGTCAGGATGTGGTTTCTCAAGTGATGGTATTTAGCGCCTTTGTAATCACACTGCGTGCAGTGGAAAGGCTTGTCATCTGGATGAACAGCAACGTGATTGATTAAATCAACTTGTTTGCGGCATGTAAACGTACACAAGGAACAATGGTACGTTTTGAGTCTATTCCTGTTAGAATAATCGTCTGCCTCCATGTAGTCTTGGTTCCCCCCACGTGGAAATACAGCTCCATCTTGAATAGATGTTTCAAGAGACAGATCGGGACATGTCGAGTCTTTGACATCGCCACTAACTTCGCTACCATGCCTACTCAAGTCGTCAGCTCTTAGTCCATTTGGAGACCCAGATCCATCCGGAGTGTCTTCTGTTCTCCTATTGTAAAAATTCATTCCCACTTTTTGGAAAAGAGTATTGTACGAGTTCTTATTATGCACTTCAGGAGACTGACGACTTACTGCAGTCTCATAAGGAGAGTAAGGTTTTTTAGGTTGTGAACCGTCGGAAGAGGCCGAACTTTGAACTGTATCATTGTCAGACCACGCAGATGGCGAGCGAGCGCGAGACGTCGAAGGCTGCCTGTAGTAATGCTGCTCCTTAGTGAGCCCAGCCCTGCAGTCTTCAGACGTGTCTCTGTTGTCGGCTTGACGACTGCCACCTACATCACTCTCCGTAAATGACGATAAAAGTGACATATTGGAAGCATTAGCAACAATCTTGGAGTATGAAGAAAACTTATCTTGTGAGCCATCCATGTGTTGGAGACTAGACATGGCAAGATTAGAGAGCAATTGCTGTTGATGATGATATCTCTGTTGGTGTTGGATCATTTGTAGCTGCTGTAGTTGCTGCTGTTGAAGCTGTTGCTGATGCTCTTGCTGAAGAGCAAAAGATGGATTCGAAATGCTTTTCAACTCACCGGTTGTTGAACCTTGAGGGGACAATTGTCCAATAAGTTTATTTGCATTGCTAGACAACGAATGCATGACTGGATTTCGTTCTAAAGGGATCTCAGCATTGTAAGTTATGGGCTGGTGTTTTTCATGCAGTACATGAGAGTTGGTACCTGAGTATTGCTGATCAGTTAACAAGGAAGCATTGTTGTGTGTGCTGGAAGGCACAGAATAAGCAGCATAGACACTAGGAGACTGGAAACTGTTGGATGACAGAGACGTTGATGACAAGTAATTGCTTGGGCTGGGGTGTAGGCTGCCACTGACTACACTATAGTTCTCAGTTGCTGCATAGTGATGATGAAGTCCTGTTTTGTTCCCTTTGTCAGAACTCACTCCTGGTTCAAACTGACCATCCGGCATAACTTCCTCTTCTTTTTCTAGGGTGGCTCATGTAACTCACATGTACACCTGAAAAATTAAATAGAATAAGTAACATTGATACAAAGCATCAAAATAGGAGAAATTAACAAAAATTGGTTGCAAGGACAATCAAATGCAGTTGGAGGTTCTTCATCTAGTGGTGAATAAGAGCATTTTAGGAACCTCATGCAAATCAAAGGATACATTTTCATAATGAGATTTTATTTACACTTGTGCCACGTCACTTTACTCAACCCCACAAGTACACCCCCAAAGATGGTTGCTAGTAGCTATGGTGGCATAGAAGGCAGATATTGTCTCTGACCCTTAGGCTCCAAACTCAGTATAATTAGACAAAAGAAAGAGATTGAGCACTTTTCTTCCAACTGTGCATCGCAGATATACACACTATAGTCTAATTTTCATAATTTGTCAGTTCAAGTAAAAAACATACACTGGAGCAGAGTTAGGAAATAAATTATGTAATAATTTAAGAACCTAAATTTTAGGATTTAAAATGAAGCCAACCATTGAGGATAAACCAAAGCTGAAATGGAGTTGTTCCCATTATTATGATGCAATAACACATAACAGGGGTTCATCACACTTAACAGTTTTAACTAAAACTTGATGAAGTTCCACAACCAAGCCTTTGGGGCAATGAATTTGGCAACCTCCACCTATGTTGTACCATACTTTAGTGTCTGGCTGTGAATGACAAACAGCCCATTGCTCATGAACAATTTTATCTATTACCATACCCTTTACTTATTTATTCAATACAAGTTATTGGGACCGTCTCCCTCTTTTGAGACTTTTTCATTTGCGAACGGATCGTTTTGAAAATTGGTACAAATATGTAAAACAGAAATCTAAGAACTTTTTCTTCATGTCAAATTTTTCGGAAAAAATGAAAGAAAACGTGAAATTCATAGAAAACGGCAAAAAAGGGAGGTACCGGTACTTTAAAAATCAATCTCCTACAAATATCGTGCTACAACATCGAGACACATATTGTTTAATTTGTAACAATCATATCTAAAATCCATCTGATTATTTTTTCTAATTTTGAATTTGTTCGGGAGGGAGAGGGGATTTTCCAAACTTTTCCTGAAAATGTCAAATTTTCCCCCCTCCACCCCCCTTTTAGCAAAATATAATCCAAACTATAACGAAATAAAAAAAATGACCAGATGGTTTCTAGAGATTTTATTTACAAAACAAATGGTAGGTACATGTCTCATTGCTGTAGCTTCAAAACTCTACGAAGAGATAGGTTTGCCGTGACAGTAAGTGTGAATGTTTAGGAGAGCGCCACAAAGTCCCACGTGCATTGCAATAGGCACTCAATGTAGCAAGGATACAAAACTAAACGTTATTGCAGCTTGATTCCAGTCAAGGATGGTGGGAACGACTGCATGCACACCTCCCCATACAACGCCAGGCAAGTAACTGAGCTGCAGCTGAAGCAGACACTCTATTCAAAGTGCTTGGCAGCTAATTTCCTCCTATTCTATAAATTTATTAAAGAACTTCCCCACACCCCTCCCTTTCAGGATCTGTCGTGAATGCATAAATCAATGTTCAGAGATGGTTTTGGTACCGTTGGATAGGTCAGAATGTCAGCTTTAAGATGAGACTAAAAACCAGGTAAGCCAAAATCCAAAATTTTAGGGTAGATCCTCCCCTTAAGGAAAATTGAACATTTCTACTACATTTTCTATAAATCGCCTGTGGGCCAATTTTTTTTATTTTAAATTTTTTTGGAAATACCATCAAACGGGGTAAAAAGGGACGGTTTTGAGCATTCTTTGTTAATAACTTCTTACCATGAAACATTTCATAAACAAGGTTGGGCTCATTTTAAAGGTCTTTGCAAGGGCTATCGTATGGCATCTCCAAAAAAAAATTCCATATGCTATTTGTAAGGTGCTAGACGCAATATAAAAGGCTCCTGAATTAATCTGGAAATGAGGTAAAAAGAGACACTTGAATTAAAACTCAATTTTAAACATTTGAAGCATGCAGAGTGTACTCATCTATTACTAACAGTACTCTGAAGTCTGAAGTCATCCCTCTTCCCTTGTAGATGATGCAAATGTAGAATAAATGAAATTTTATGTGATTTTTACTTGATTTTTCTTCACTGATATAATATTACCTTATCCATACATTACCGTATTATTAATGTGATATTACTGTATCCATGGACTGTGATGGACATGCCATTGAGCATTGACAAAGACCTTTTCCACTGCAAGCTTCATATCTGCAGCCATGTAGCATTTCCCCTGTATCTGTAATCTTACAGGATGGTTTGTAATTTCGCACAATTTTAATTGAGTCAAGTGATTTCACTATAACAAGAAATATTGTAAAAAACATACATGAAGCAGGAAGGAATATTTTAGTGACAACCATCATATTTTTTGGAGAAATAAATAATAGTTTAGGTTAATTACTTTTCATTCTTTGTTGCCCAGTGCTCAATTCTATCTGTGACATTCTATGCACAATTTTGTGATGACTGATGCAGTAGGTAATTTTTTATTAAGTGAATTTTTTTTCACTGAGCAAGGTAAATGTAATCAAAATTCTTTGTTGTTAATTGATTTTTTCATTAACTGGAGCCTTTGCTAACCAAGGATCTACTGTAAATGCAATTTTAGGGGTGTCTCTTATTACCCCAGGGGGGGGGTGTCCCTTATTACCCCATTTTGCAAAAATGGCCACCATTTTTGCTTGGAATGAGATATGCAAATTCTGTCAATCACGTTTTTAAGCCAACACTACCATCAACTGGGGCTACTCGGGACAGGCAGGGTAACTCGGAACAGTCCTCCGACATGGCGTAAAACTGTTTTAGTAGCAAAACTAATTGGAATATTGCAAAACTAAATATAGTAGCGTAAACGTCAACATTTTTCCTATCTATGTAGTATAAAGGAAGTTCAAAAATACTACATTTACTAGCTTTGAAAAATTCCTGAAAAAATGTTGAAAAACAATATTTTGAAAAGTTACTTCTGCTAAGGTCTGTCGTAAAAAAATATTTGCCGTATTAAAAAATTTCGCTTAGAAAAAAGTGGCAGACAAGTGTCAGCATGAAAACTTTATTTGCGGAATTTACATATCTCAATCCAAAAAAAAAAAAAGGCTGCCATTTCCGCATGGTGGTCTACTTGGGACACCCCCCGGGGCTATTCGGGACACCCCCAAAAACGCATTTACAGTAGAACCTCAGTTAGCAAAGGCTCCAGTAACGATAAGAATTTATTAAAAACAAAGAATATTGATTACATTTACCTCGCTCAGTGAAAAAAAATTTCACTTATCGAAAAATTAGTGCATCATTGGTCATCACAAAATTGTGCATAGAATGTCGTATATAGAATTGTGCACCAGGCATCATAGAATGAAAAGTAATTGACCTAAACTATGATTTATTTCTCCAAAACATACGACAGTTGTCACTAAAACATTCCTTTCTGTTTCAGGTATGTTTTTCACAATCTTTTTTTATAGTAAATTCACTTAACCCAATTAAAATGGTGTGAAATTACAAGCCGTCCTGTAAGCTTACAGATACAGAAAAAATGCTATAGGGCTGCTGATATGAAGCTTGCAGTGGACAAGGTTGTTGTAAATGCTCAATGGCCTGTTCATGGATACAGTAATATTGCATCAATAATACGGTAATTAATGTATATGGTAATATATCAATAAAGGAAAAACAAGTAAAAAACTAAAAATCACAGAAAATGTCATTTATTCTACCTCGACATCATCTACAATGAAAGAGGAGGACTTCAGAGTACTGTTAGTAATGGATGAGTACACTCTGCATGTTTCAAATGTTTTAAAATTAAGTTTTATTCCAAGTGTCCCGAGTAGCCCCGTTCGATGGGGCTACTCGGGACACTTTTTTTGCTTCTGGCACCTTACAAATAGCATATGGAATTTTTTTGGAGAAGCCATGTGATAGCCCTTGCAAAGAGCTTTGAAATGAGCCTAAACTTGTTTATGAAATGTTTCATGGTAAGAAGTTATGAATGAAAAACGTCCGAAATTGTCCCAAGTAGCCCTGGTTGATGATAGTATGCAACTTTTATACAAGTAAAATTTTTCAATACAACAAATATTTTTTCTGCTACAGACCTTAGCAGAAGTACTTTTCCAAAATCTCACTTTTCACACCTTTTTTCAGGGATTTTTTTAGAGGTAATAAATGTATGATTTCTCAACTTGCTTTATGCTGCATAGATAGTAAAAATGTTGAACTATACACCACTATTTGTAGTTTTGCAATATTTTAATTACTTTAGCTGCTACAACATTTCTACAAAATGTTGGAGGATTTTCCCTTTTTTACCCCCCATTTGACAGTACTGCCCAATATTATAATTTTTTTCTAGTTATGGCTTAAAATTTGGTAAGCACAGTGGCAAATGAATGATTTTTCAACAAATCAGCTCAATTCCAATTTCCTGATCCAGTTAAAAATTTTATTAAATATCTCTATAGGTGTAATAATGCAAGTGTGAAATATATCTATCTTTTGAGCCAGAACTAGAGCTTTCCCCACCCTTATTTAAGCTGCTAGATTCCTGCAACTTCCCGATTGTTCACTTTTATAAATAATTATTTTTAGATACAAGATAATTCATCTAACAGGAATCTTGTGGCTCTAAAGATGGCAGGAAAACTCTAGTTGAGGCTCAAATAGTAGATTTATTTCATGCCAGAACTAGATAAATTGCCTCTCATCTTCTTGTTTACAAAAGGGCACAATTGGACAGCAAGATTCCAAACTTATTAAAAATTTGTGACTATGAAGCTGTAAAATTTCAATAATAAATTCTAGTCCTGCTGGTAGAAGTACTATTCATGATAATTTACAGATTTACTTATAGGACTCTAAAAGGAAGCCTAAAACACTTTCTGCTTTGCCATCACTTTTGTAAAATTGGGCTGAAGCAACTCTCATACAAGACAAAAATACCCATGCTCATGGTCTATTACACTCAAATTAGTAGTAGATCTACTAATTTCTTGATTTTTTTCACTAAAATTTAAGTAAAATTACATTTTTTCCCACAGTTTTCTGAAGTTGTCTATGAAACTGAGCAAAGTGTCAAACCACAGATTTTGTGGAATCAGTTCTTTTTTATTTCCTCTTCTACTCAAAATTTAAGCAAATATTGTTTGTAACAGTATGATAATGTTGGTGATGTCAAATGGGGTAATAAGGGACAGGTGGGACAAATTACAAGTGACAGACCTCCAACATTGCATAAAAATGTTATAGCAGCCAAACTAATTGAAATATTGTAAAACTAAACATAGTGGCATGAACTTCAACATTTTTCCTATCTATGTAGCATAAAAGAAGTTAAGATATGTATCATACATCTACTAGCTAATGTCATAAATTTCACTCTAAAACTGAGCGATCCAAGTTGGATTGCTTGGATCACTCAGTTTCCAAGTTATGTTTATATCCAAATTAAAATTTATTTGGCAAGTATTTCTTGCATGAGATACGTCAAAATTTCTCCATTTTAACAGCATTAAAATCCATGCAGAAACATGAATTGTTAATATTTTTAGGCCAAAATTTAAGCTCCTAAGGACCTGAAACTGAGGCTTTTGGTTTCAAATTCAAACTTCTCAACAAAGCAAGCTGCCGCAGCTGCTGGCACAGTTTGCTGCCAGCGTTGCCCTGCCTATTTTTGACCAAGGCAATCTGTTTTGAAGGGAATGTTCATAGTGGATAAATGTACCTTGAATTATTAATTGTAATTTCATTCATTAGGTACCTTTTCAGGCCAAAATATAACAGAAAAGTTGTATCCCCATATTT